TGACCTACAATAGAATAGCATCGTTGAGCTGGTAAGTAGGCGTGAACTTAACTTCCACTGGGTTAAGCCACCAAAATCTAACTCTTACAGAGTTAGAGCCATTTTTGCTTGGTTTTCTTTCAGTGCTTGGCTCATTCCATTTCATGTAGCTGGAGTTCAAATGGTATTTGTTAAATTCTATGGAAAATTCAGGGACAAACACAAAGAAATGTAAATTAGGTCATACTTGAGAACGTGGTTTGAGATATCTGATGACACCAAAATGCTCTTCCAATCCTATTTTCTTAAAAAAAAAAAAATGCCACCTTCAAGACATTTGTTTTACTTACTTACTCTTTGAAATCAGTTGTTACTTTGTTTTTGGCAAAGAGAAAATAAGATGTTTTGAGAACTGCTGGCCATTCTGGTTGAATGTGGGCGCCAAGTTTTCTTCTGGCAAAATGAGCCAGATGGCATAACTGTGGGGAAAAAATGACAAGATGGAAGATATTTGTGTTTCATTGTCAGATAGTTGGGTCAGATTTTCAAATAAGACATAAGCAGTGGATACAGGCCTGTAGCCAATAGCACTTTTATTCACATCCCAATTAGACTTCCATTGTAAAATGCTGGTATTATTTTCTGGAGCTACTCAGCTCCTCCCAAAATGTCATCAAGACAAAACAAGATTGGGTCCTCATCCCTCCAAATCAAACCTCAGTCCACTTCCGTAAGACTGGATATTGCAGTAGAACACCAGAGTGAAGCTTAAGAGTGAAAGGAAGGTGATAATTTTACCAGAAAATTGGTCCTTGGTTTTTCTTGAAATTACTGTCTCCTCTCCTCTCAGTGTGCTTCCTTTTCCTCCTCCTTCACCCATTTTACTTCTCCTGCATCTCAATAAGCAAGCATCCCCATGGAGCCCCACTCCTACTCTGTTCAGAGGTATTTTCTCCTTATTTATTTATCTTCATGTCTACACTGTTTGACTTACTTGGTAAGCCTATACTGTAGCATTGATTGTTCCCCATAAAAATGCTATTGAACATGGATATATTGTTTCTGATACATTTTCCAAATACTTTTTTTTTCTAAAACAAAAAGTTGAACCCATACTTCCTCATAGCAAATGAACTATGATTTATACCCACTTTTTAAAATATATATATATTATTAATTTTTTTACAGAGAGGAAGGCAGAGAGATAGAGAGTTAGAAACATGGATGAGAGAGAAACATTGACCAGCTGCCTCCTGCACACCCCCTACTGAAGATGTGCCCGCAGCCAAGGTACATGCCCTTGATTGGAATCCGGGGACTCTTGAGTCCGCAGGCCGATGCTCTGTCCACTGAGCCAAACTGGTTAGGGCTAGACCCACTTTTGGGGGCCGATCAGTGGCACATAAAAATAAATTTACTGAGTCACAACAAACATTTCCAAAAAGTAAGTAGAATAAATAAAGGTGTATCAGAGGGCACTGCATTCTGTTTATGAAACAACAGCTTACAGTGCCCTCGACGGCACCCCACAGAAAGTGTTGGTCTGTACACCAGCTGGCCAGTGGTGGGGGAAGTCTGCCTCCCTAAAACTGTGGAAACAACCCGCCTGCCAGGACAGGAGACACCCCACTTTCCTACAGACACCTGAGAGCAGTAAGCTCTCAATTGGGGGAGCCCGGAGGAAAACATCACTGTGCAAGAAGGAGCGTTACAACTGTCAGCTGCGTATGTCTCTTTAAATCTTACTCTTCAAAATGTCTTAAATGTGCAGAAGCCGGTTTGGCTCAGCGATAGATCTTCAGTCTGCGGACTGAAAGGTCCCAGGTTCGATTCCGGGCAAGGGCTTGTACATTGGTTGTGGGCACATCCCCGGTAGAGGGTGTGCAAGAGGCAGCTGGTCGATGTTTCTCTCTCATCGACATTTCTAGCTATCTCTCTCCCTTCCTCTCTGTAAAAAAATCAATAAAATATATTTTTTAAAAAGAAAAAAGAAATAAAATGTCTTAAATGTAAAACTTCTGTTGCAAAAAGTCTGTGTTCTATTTGATCATTTCCAAGTCTACAAGGCAACCAAATGGGTTGCCTCTAATGACAGTGGGTATAGCTTCAGGTCCTTCCATAATCCCACGGCATCAGAAGGACCTGTAGCATCATTAGCAGATTTTTTTTTTTTTTAATTGCAGGTAACGCTAGCATTCCAGAAATTCACATATACAGCAAAATGCACACTCACACCTGCTGAGAAACACACTAACAGACCTGTTTTAGGAGAAAGCTTCTCCATTCAGCTCTTTCTGCTCAGGTTTTCTTTCTGCTTATTCAGTCTATATTTAGCCCCTGTGATTCTCCATACGCCCTTCTAACACATTTCCTGTTAAGGAGTTTTCCATAGCTGATCTTTTGGAGAACTATGGAGTGGTACACCCTGTGCAGGTGTGGGTTGATTTGCCTGCCAGTGGCATCATGACTAAATCGAGAATCAAGAAGGCCCCTCAGAAAACGTGCAGGCGAACGATATTTTGCTCTCATCGATTTTCTCTCTCTCTTTTCCTCTCCCTCGTCTTTTAAGTCAATAAACACATATTAAAAGATAAAAGAGTGGCCTTCCATGGCCACCTCACTGACCTCAGGCTGCTCCTGCCCTCAGGGAAGTCAGCACAGAAACGGGCCATCACCCTGGCCAGTTTGGCTCAGTTGGCTGGGTGTCATCCAGTGCACTGGGAGGTTGCTGATTCGATTCCCGGTCAAGGGCACACGCCCAGGTTGTTGGCTTGATCCCTGATGGGGGGCATACAGGAGGCAGCCGATCAATGTTGCGCTCTCACATTGATTCTCTCTCAAAATCAATCAACTAGTCTTTAAAAAGGGGGAGAGGGCATATACTAAACCTGACAAGCTCAGGGGAGGGGAAAATGGTGGGCCTTACCAACTTAGAGACCGAAGGTAACCATAAAATGGTCTGAGCACAAAAATTCCTAACTAAAAGCAATTCATGGCGGTGGCCTGTAGCTTCCTAGACAAAGGTCAAACATTTTCCCCCTGCAAAGGGCAATCTTTACCGTAAGTGAGCCTGTCTACTGTCTTTCTGCGTCTAAGATATACACCTTGGAAATGTCCGTGTTTCTCCTTTCCCACACCCCTGCAGGCAGGCTCGCTGCACCAGAGCAGAACACAGACCCCCTCACTGCGATATTATTTCCTCCACACTGTCTCGCTGTGCTACAAATGTCCATTATTAACCATCCCATACCCACCGATGTAAGAGAAATGTCTCTCCATCTTACTCTTTAAAAGATATGTAGACATTTTTTATTGATTTCAGAGAGGAAGGGAGCGGGAGAGAGAGAGTCATTGATCGACTGCCTCCAGCAAGCTCCTTCCTAAGGATCGAGCCTGCAACCTGGCCTGTGCCCAGCCTGGGAATCGAATCGTGACCTCCTGGTCCATAGGTTGATGCTCAACCATTGAGCAACACTGACCTGGCTTTCCATTTTGTTCTTCTTTTTTTTTTTTAATCAATCTTTATTGTTCATATTATTACAAAAGTTCCTCATTTCTTCCCCCCTCCACCAGGTTCCCACCCCACCCTCCGCCCCCTTCCTCTCCCCCATTGTCTTCATCCATAGGTGCACAGTTTATGTTCAGTCTCTTCCTCCCTCCCTTTCCCTGATAGTAAATCCCTTTTCAGATAGTAAATCAGTTACTTAGCATTTTCTCATATCAATAATACCTCCACATGCCCAATGATACACTTCACACAAAAGACATTTCCAAATAGGCCAACCAACCTCATCCAGGCCTTGCACAAGGCACTCACAGATCAACACCCCAGCGCTATACTAACTCAACACATCCAGATCTAAGCCTTCATCACTTGATTCAGTAGACCCTCAAGTTCCCGCAAAAGTTTCCAGCCATGTCTGAGAGGCAGCCGTGGGGCAGGGGCAGGCGAGGAGCGAGCTGTCCTGGGCTTGGCTGCTACGGGCCTGGCCTCTGTTGCTTTGGTCCGTTCCACAACCAGCTGCTCTGTGTCTGGCCACTGCCGCTCCCAACCTGGCCGCTCCCAGCCTGGCAGCCGCTGCTCGGGGCCTGGCCTCACCCGACCCGGATGCTTTGGGCCTGGCTGCTCCGGGCCCAGCCGCTCCGGGCCCGGCCGCTCCCAGCCTGGCAGTTGCTGCTCCGGGCCTGGCTGCTCCCAGCCTGGCAGCTGCTGCTCCGGGCCTGGGTGTTTTGTTTTTTTTTAATATATTTTATTTATTTTTTATAGAGAGGAAGGGAGAGGGATAGAGAGCTAGAAACATCGATGAGAGAGAAACATTGACCAGCTGCCTCTTGCACACCCCCTACCGGGGATGTGCCCGCAACCAATGTACATGCCCTTGACCGGGATCGAACCTGGGACCCTTCAGTCCGCAGACCAGTGCTCTATCCACTGAGCCAAACCGGTTTCGGCTCCATTTTGTTCTTGATCCAGTCCTACCGATTCTCTGTTTTGCTTTCTTCTGCCTCCATTGTGGGCATTTAGACTCACTTTCCCCAGATATTTCAACATTTCAAGAAAAGCCAGGTATCTTGATTTTTATCTGACATCTTTCTACTTTTTAAAAGTTGACAATAAGCCCTGACTGGTTTGGCTCAGTGGATAGAGCATTGACCTGCAGACTGAAGAGTCCCAGGTTGATTCCGGTCAAGGAATGTACCTTGGTTGTGGGCACATCCCCAGCAGGGGTTGTGCAGGAGGCAGCTGATCGATGTTTCTCTCTCATTGATGTTTCTAACTCTCTATCCCTCTCCCTTCCCTTCTTTAAAAAAATTAATTAAAATATTTATAAAAAATAAATCAAAATAAAAGTTGACACTAAAACTAAACAAACAAAACGCAATTAGGGCCAAGTTGATGTGGAACTAACAAAATATATCCCTAGGTCAAAGCTGTCTGCCTGGCCCCTCAGTGCTGCATCCTCCTGGTCTCACCAGCATACCGTGTTTCCCCGAAAATAAGACCTACTTACAGGTTTCCTTCTGAGTGAAATAGAAGGAATCCCCCCGAAAATAAGGCCCCCCTAGGCTCTGTCTCAGAATGAAAATTAATTTACCATAAACTGGTCGCTAGGGCCGCCCCGGCTGGCCTCTAGCAACCAGTGACGTTACACTGAGTCCTGACGTCACTTCTGTGTGGAGACGGAGCAGACAGTTGCATTGCAAATGCACTGCGAGCAGGCTACCTTGACAAGAAGCACTCATTTAAAGACAGTGCTATTGCTAAACATGAGAGATTTGGTCCACTGATTCTGAAAGAAATGGAGTCACAAGAAATTCACCAGGAAATTCAGGAATTGGATCGTTATGATGATGTTCCAGAAGATGATGACATGATTGTCATTGAATAAATGAGTAAATTCTTGATACTGCAGGATTCACAGTTTGTCTGCTTTGTATTGACAACTACCGTACTACTGTATCGTATACAGGTAATAAATTTCCTTTATTTTCATTTAACAATAAATGTGTACCGTATTCTTCTTCATGGAAAAATAAGACATCCCCTGAAAATAAGACCTAGCACATCTTTGGGAGCAAATATTAATATAAGACTGTCTTATTTTCAGGGAAACAGGGTAGGCATCCACCCCCGTCATCTCATCGGAAAAGCCGACCTCCAAATGCCCTGTGTCATGTGAGGAGGGCCCTGCTGTACATACATGAGTTGTTTTAGAATTAAAAGCGTGTATTTTTAATGGATAATTTACTGCTCTCTTTACTTAACATGGAACACACTTTTCTAGTTACACACAAATTAACATGCAAAGTATGAAAAGGCAAATGGCTCTGAGGCAATGAAATGCTTGGACTCTGATTTTGTTGGAAGCCTGCTTGGCTCCCATGGCCTTAAGGCTCATGGCTTCCACTCAGTCTCAAGTACAGACAGGCTAAACATTAGAGGAATTCTGCTTGTAGCTCGAGGAGATGAAGGAAGTATGAACTGGTTAGCAAGGTTTACAGGAACTTGTTCTGACTCACATCGATTAGGACAATCTTCCTCAGACCCCGGGGCCTCCCAGATGTCAGCCATGGTCAGTCACCGCTTACCACCCCCACTTCTCTTCCCCACGGCATAGAAGAAGCCTGCAGTCTGTACTTTCTGGAGATGAATGTGAGGTACCGCGAGGGCTCCCATCTTCTTGGTTGGCGCCTTGAGAATCAATAACCCTTTTCCCTACTTTGACATTTGGGGTTTTGGCCTTTTGCAGCACCAGGCACATGGACTTTGAACAGGGTACAACTCCATCCCTTTTCTTGGCAGCATCAAAATTTGAGCAGTCAGTAGCTTCTTGCACAAATGGATAGCACACCTGTGGATTTTGCTGACACCCCCCGCCCAGCTTACTGAAACATGTACAAAAAAATGCAAGTGGCCACTGATTCTTCAGCATCGTTGACTCGAAGGCATCTAACACGTGGAATTTGAACTAAAAAATTCTTACAGTGCGGTGGGCAGTAGTTTGGTGTGATGGTACTGAATCTCACATTTGGGGAGGAGGAACAAACTCTCCTCTACCCTCAAGGCTCTTCTGGCTGGTCCGATAATTTATATGAGAGGAGAGAGACTAGCAAGAGAAAATAACCCAGTTTATCACATACATATGTATGGGAAACGCACATACGTGAGAGTCAGAGACCCCACATGCAGCGACAAAAAAGGAACATGGGCATATAAGACATCCTGAGCTAGGAGGCTCCAAAGGGTCATTGTAGAAAGAAAAGCAGAGGCTGGCTGACTAAGCAGAGCTTTGTCCTGCCCTACAGCGAGGCCAAAACAAGTTATCTCTGCTCATCTCTCTTTTCTTTTTTTTAATACGATATATATATATATATATTTATATATATATTTATATATATATATTTTTAAATATATATTTTATTGATTTTTTACAGGGAGGAAGGGAGAGAGATAGAGAGCTAGAAACGTTGATGAGAGAGAAACATCGACCAGCTGCCTCTTGCATACCCCCTACCGGAGATGTGCCCGCAACCAATGTACATGCCCCTGACTGGAATCGAACCTGGGACCTTTCAGTCTGCAGACCGACACTCTACCACTGAACCAAACCGGTTTCTGCTCTGCTCAGCTCTTATTGTGGGCAAAGCACCAAAGTTCTTCTAGGTGGTCAGAGAAAGGGAGGGAGCAGACAATTATCTAACGTTTGAAGCTAAAATTGCCCTTAGCTCGGAGTAATGTGTATACCACTGAGGCACATCTTGGGGTGCCTGCTTCTGAACCCCCACACATTCATCAACAACTGTTTATTCAGCATTTCTCTGAAGAGCACAGCTGTGATTGCAAACCCAAGCCTGGAAGCTCCTGCCCACGCTGCTGCTTCTGCGGTGCTGCTGAGCGAGGGCCTGGGCAGCAGCTGCCATGCAGCTGCTGGAGCCTGGTGGCGCTGGCCGGACAGGGAGTCCCAACGCTGCTGTTCCTGCCGCACAGTCCCTCAGAGCCGATCCGGGCAGCTCTGTCCTGTCCTCCAGGCAGGGCGGTCTGGCAGAGCTTTGACATTGAGAAGCTAGAGGAGAACTTAGGAAAATGGTGGGGAATGGTTATGCCAGGAGGCAATATATGGTTACCTTTCTGTGGCACCAACTGGGCCTTATTGCTTAAGCTTCTTCAATATCCGGAGGGCAGTCACTCTTTGGCTGCACATTAGTGTCAGCAAGGGCAGCCAGCCTCACCTCCGGGATTCCCTAGGTTTCCTGGCCTCGCACAGAAGACTTGGTAGTGATAATGCAGAAATGGCTACTTCAAACGTTCCCGTCCTGGATGTGATTTCCCCGGGCTCACACTGCTCTCCGGATGGGTTCTCTCTTCTGCCTGCAGGTATTTGCATTCTCTGTTCCCTTGTTTGGACTGCCTAACCCTCTCCGCCCTACCCTAACCCTTTTAATCTTTTAAATGTCTAATCTTTCCAATGCCTCTCCCTGAGAGCCCTCTCCTTCCACTGTATTCAGAGGACCTGCCCTTAGAAAGGAAAAATAAATGAGGACAACATTTTAATGAAAATATCTTTAAAACAAACAAACAACAACAACAAACACTATGGCTTTGCTTTATAACCATTTTAAAGTGGAAACCAGAGTAGGATAGTGGTTGTTGGAAGCATGGGACACTGAATCATATAGCACATGAGTTTAAATCTTGCAAAGATCTCAGTGGCTTACTTCAGTGATGGGGTATTTCTTGTTCATGTCACAGTCCAGTGACTCGGGCTGAATTATGTCCCCTGACACAGTACGTTGAAGTCCTAACACCTGGTACCTGTGAATGCGACCTCACTTGGAAATCGGGTCTTTGTGGATGTGATGAAGTAGAGAAGAGGTCATACTGGATTGGGAGGGACCCTGAATCCAATGACTGGCGTCCCAGTAAAGAGCGGGAGGTTGGAGACGCAGACACGCAGGGAGAAGGCTGCCATGTGAGGATGGAGGCCGAGCTGGGTTACGTTGCCGCAAGCCAAGTGCCAAGGACAGCCAGAGCTGGAAGAGGCAAGGACGGGTTCTTCCCTCGAATCTTTGCAGGCAGGCTGGCCCTGCCTACGCCCTGGCTGTCACCCCAAGATGTGCCTCAGTGGTATACACATTACTCCGAGCTAAGGGCAATTTTAGCTTCAAACGTTAGATAATTGTCTGCCCCCTCCCTTTCTCTGACCACCTAGATATTATATCTATCAATATATTATATTATATCTAGGCGTCCAGGTTTTTCCACAACTGTGAGCGGGCGTGTTTTATAGGCCACTCGGTTTGTGGCTCTTTCTACGGCAGCCCTAGGCCACACATGCGCTGACCTCATAGGCTGAGCAGCGATGAAAGTCCTTCACAGCATCCTGTGGCCTGAGGCAGGCCCCAGGGCAAGCGGCCTGGGCTGCGGAGGAGTCGAGGAGAAGGCTGAGGAGGGGGACAATCGAGACCCTTCCAGGGGACGGGGAGATGAGTACCAAGGCCGGTCCCTTGAAGACACTTTGGTCACCAAAGCTACCTGAGCAGTGAGCCAACAGATTGAAAAATATGGTCCTAAGCCCTGGCCGGGTGGTTCCATTTGTGGAGCGGCGTCCCATGCACAAAAAAAAGGTGGCAGGTTCGATTCCCAGTCAGGGCATATACTTAGGTTGAGAGTTTGATTCCCCGGGTTGGGGCACGCTTGGAAGGCAATTGACTCCTCTCTCTCCCTCTGTCTCTCTGTCTCTCTGTCTCTCTCTCTCCATCTCCCCCCCCCCCCTTTCTCTAAAAATCAATAAAAACATCTTTGGGTGAGAATTAAGAGAAATTATTTTTAAAAAGAAAAATATAGGCACTGAAACGTAGGGAGGTTACAAGTCTTGCTGACAAGGAAAAGCTAGAGCAGCAGACAACAATGAGGAATGAAGCAACAGCAATGATTTAGTAAGTGCTTCTTGGTCTAAGCCTGAGCTTGTCTCAACCTCTCTCCTCCTGACATTGAGCCGGGCAGGGTCATGTGTGGATAAAGGGGCCACGTACCAAACCTGACAGGCGCAGGGGAGGTCTGCATGGCAGCCTTATTAACTCAGAGGGCGAAGGTAACCACAGGTGATGGTCTGAACATAGGAATTCCTAACCAAGCACGAGGCAGGACGGGAAGTCACGTCCGAGGCCCATCGCTTTCTTGACGAAGGTCAGTCTCTACCTTCAGTGAGCCGGTCTGGTGCCTTTTTGCATCTAAGATAACATCACCACTGAAATGTCGGAGGAATCTGCTCTTCCAGACCCCTCAGAGCACACGTCACCGGACTGGAGCACCGGAGTCTGGGTCACACAGACCCCTCATTGTTCTCTGGTTCGCCGCATACCACCTGCCTGTGCCGTGAATGAACTATCCTGTACCCGCCATTTCACTCTTTACCCAGTTCCAGAGAGTCCCGGTTCTCCTTCCTCTCTGAATCTGCCACCGATAGATTCCATGCAACCCTTCTCCTTTTGTTCTGCCGTTTTTGGGAGTGCTTTCTCAGTCCGTTGAGATTTTGCTTCCTGGCTATCAATAAATTCATAAAGTTCGTTTGGCTCCAATAAATTCATAAAAATCCTCTGCAGGTTTGAACACTTCTTACGGTGACAGCGGTAAGACCCCTGTTTTGCAGAGGACGACAGTGAGGCGCGGAAATAAGCACAGAACCCACTAGTCCTGGTCACTTAGGCAGGAAGGAAGTAGACGGGGTGGAATCAGTGCTCTGACTCCCATTTACGGATGAGGAAACAGATACGGTGAAGGAGTGGCAGTGACTTGCCCAGGGTTTCCTGATTAGGGCCTAGCAGAAGTGTGGGGCTGGGGGTCAAGTTGTGTAATCTCAAATTCCTCTCTTTCCCTGCAGCCCTGTGGCTGCTCAGCAGAGCCCTGGGCTTGTGTGGAAGTGATAGTTTTTTTTGTTTTTTAAATTCTCACCAGAAGACATACTTATTGTGTTTAGAGGGGCAGGGAGAGAGAGAGAGAGAGAGAGAGAGAGAGAGAGAGAGAGAGAGAGAAACATTGATGAGAGAAACCTTAATCAATTGCCTTCCTATAGATGCTTTGATGGGATTGAACCTACAATTTAGGTTTGTTCCTGACTGGGAGTCAATCGGAAAACACAGATATTTACATTATGATTCATTAACAGTAGCAAAATTACAGTTATGAAGTAGCAACGAAAATAATGTTATGGTTGGGGGTCACCACAACATGAGGAACTGTATTAAAGGGTCTCGGCATTAGAAAGGTTGAGAACCACTGACTTAGAAGAACTTAAATTAGGAGCCGTGACGAATCTATACGGCACGAAAACGTCTATTCACTAAGCATCTGTTCTTGTCATCCTGCAATGATCCTTGAGGTCCTTAAAGCACCCAACCTCATCTCTAACTCGAGATGTCTTCTACACCTCAGTCCCCCTTGCTGTCTCTGAACCTCTTTTGCATGTGGGGTCTCTGACTCATGTATGTAAGGTTCCCGTACATATGCATGTATTAAGCTTGGTGAATTTCTCTTGCTGATCTGTCTCATGTGGCTGTGATTATTAGACCAACCAGGAGAACCTTGAGGGTGAAAAGGCTGTTCCTCTCCCACAAACCCAAAGGCAGTAAGCAGGCACCACTCTTAAAACCCTGCATTTCGAGATAACAGGGACTCTTGTTCTTTGGCAAAAAGAAGTCACCGGAGGAACAGGTGGGGGACAGCCTCTTCAGGACTGGAGAGGGGACAGAACTCCCAGGCTGGGTGTGTGGAGGTGCTGGGGGGACGAGCAGGGGCTGCTTCCTCCTTCTAGAACGGACAGGAAAGGTGTAGCCAGAGATCATGCTTCCATTTCACCAGCTGGAGTTATCTGCTGTGTTAACGCAAGTTATCTGCTGACAGTGAGTATGAAGAGGAGACGTTCGTCTTTCAAACACAGGCCCATCTCTCAGGATCAAAGCTGCCGTTTGGCAAATACGCTAGAAATTCGCCATCACCAAATTATATACACGGGCCTTACGGAACATTTGTATGTGTCTACATTACGTCCTAAAGACAAACAACAGAAGTCATACTGGCCGTTAGAATTCTGGCTGCCTAAACCAGGCACTCAAACCAGCTTAAGCAGGAAAGGGAAACGTAGGATCAGGTTACCTAGGTGACCCATGGGTGCTGGGAGCCCAGGTGCAGCCACAAAAGACTTGGGCCAGGAGAGCCACCTGGAGCCTGGCCCCCTGCCTCCGGCGGCTCGGTCCCATGCTCACTCAGTCCATGGAAGAACTCACACACAGCGACTTCCCACCCCCTTTGTCCAGGGACCGGCCCAGACGGAAGGAATCAGAATGGTCTTCTGCAGGAGACACTGAGAGCAGCTCAGGCCGGCGTAAGCTAATGAGGGGATTTAACGGTTCAGATAACGGAACATCCTCAGCCAGCTGGGCCCAGGTGTCCACAAGGCCCCAGGAGGCCGCGGCTCCCTCCGCTGGCACCTGTGCCCGCTCCGCCCGCTGCCGGCTCAGCCCTCCTGGGACAAGATGACCTGCAGAAACTCTGGCTTCTGTCCGTGCCGGACGCTCCGGTTCTCTGAGAGTCCCAGCGAGTCTCTGGATGGGTGGTGGGTAAGACAGCTTTGGTCACACTGCCGGCTTCTGAGCCAGCCAGCCCAGGTCAGAGACAAGGAAATGGTCGTTGGCCAGGCTTGCGACATGGACCTGGACGGGAGCCAGGGCTGAGGGCAGCCCCACCCAAACACCCAACAGGAAGAGCTGGCGCTGCCTGGCGTTCCCTGTTGGCTGGGCACCGTCCTAAGCACTTTAGACAAATTAGCTCCTGTTGACCTCGGGTTACTATCTGTTTACTAATTTAGTCAGCACGTACCCCCTTCTTATTTAGTCATTTAAATATATATTTTATTGGTTTCAGAGAGGAAGGGAGAGGGAGAGAAACATCAGTGATGAGAATCATTGATCGGCTGCCTCCTGCACGCCCCCTACTGGGGATCGAGCCCATGCATGTGTCCTTGTCAGGAATTGAACCTGGGACTCTTGAGTCCACAAGCTGACACTATCCACGGAGCAAACCAGCTAAGGCACATTATCTCCATCTCATAGATGGGGAAATGGAGCACAGGTGTGAGCATGTGGTACCCACCAGGCCTCACAGCTAGGGAGCTGCAGAGCTGGGATTTGAGTGGCACAGACCCTTGGGCCCCAGATACTGAGCTTTTGACCTTTAAGGAATTACAGAGTAGCCCTCGCCGGTTTGGCTCAGTGGATGGAGCATCGGTCTGTGGAGTGAAGGACCTGGGGTTTGATTCCAATTAAGGGCAAATGCCTGGGCTGCGGGCGGGATCCCCAGTAGGGGGATTGCAGGAGGCAGCCAATCCATGATTCTCATCATTGATGTTTCTCTCTCTCTCTCCCTCTCCCGTCCTCTCTGAAATCAATAAAAATATATTAAAACAAAAAAAACAAAAACAGCAATGAAATGTCACTATAGCCCTAGGAAGGTGGCCCAAATCTGAAACACTGACACCACCAAACGCTGGTGAGGCTGAGGAGGGGCGGGGACTCTCATTCATTGCCGGCGGGAATGCCACGTGGCCTGAGCACGTGGGGAAACAGTTTGGCAGTCTCTTAGAAAACTGGAAATACTCTGCGATCCAGCAGTCATGCTCCCTCGTGGCTCCCCGAGGGAGTAACCAAACTTGGGTGCACACCAAAGCCTGTGCACGGGTGCTCACAGCAGCCTTATTCGCCATCGCCGGAACCTGGAGGCAGCCAGCACGCCCTTTATTTGGTAAGGGGACAAACCGCGGTGCAGCCACACAATGAGATGCTACTCAGCACCAAAAAGCAATGAGCCGCCAAGCAATGAAAAAGACTTAGAGCACATGTGTCAAACACAAGGCCCGCGGGCCAAATCTTTGATAGCATGTGAGTTGGTTAATAGCACTGTTAAGGAAAAGATTGTTCCACTCATTTTAAATTCACATTTCTGGTTAACATTGTCAGTTTATGACTGTTCAGTAAACCATTCGGTCCGCGATTTAGGCTGGATTTTAGATTTTGGCCCCTTCTCTGATTGAGTTCGACACCCCTAACTTAGAGGAACCTTGAAGGCACACTGCTGCGTTCACGAAGCCGATTGGAAAAGGCTGTGTGCTCCGTGATTACAACTGTATGGCATCCTGGGAAAGGCAAAACTGCGGAAAGAGCGAGGAGATCAGTGGTCGCCAGGAGTAGCGGAGGCGGGAGAGCTGGACAGGCAGAGCCCAGAGGGTGTTTAGGGCAGCGAGACCACGGTGCGCGGTAACATAATGGTGGGTAGACCTCATCACACAGTTGTCCAAGCCCATAAGATGTACACCACCAAGCATGAACCCTAAGGCAAACTGGTTTTTGCGTGTTCATGTGTCTTTTAGGTCCATGGATTGTAACACACGTACCTCTCTGGTGGGCATGTTGGTCACGGGAGGCTGTGCACGTGTGGGGGCGGGGCGGGGAGGTAAGGGAAATCTCTGCACCGTCTCTCCAGCTTTTAATTATTTATTTATTTTTTAAAGAAATTTTAAATACATTTTTATTGATTTTACACAGAGAGGAATTGAGAGGGACAGAGAGTTAGAAATGTCGATGAGAGAGAAACATCGACCAGCTACCCCTTGCACACCCCCTACCGGAGATGTGCCCGCAACCAAGGTACATGCCCTTGACTGGAATCGAACCCGGGACCTTCCAGTCCGCAGGCCAACGCTCTATCCACTGAGCCAAACCAGTCCCGGACCGTCTCTCCAGTTTTACTGTGAACTTAAAGCAGCTCTCAAAAAATATCCTTAAAATATTAAAAATAAATAAAAATAAACCCAGCAAATAATTAATAATAATAATAATAATAATAATAATAATAATAATAATAATATTAACCTTCACTGCAGACCTTCAAAGTTCAATTGCGCCCCCAGGCCCAGCCTCCTGCTGGACCGTTAGGGAAACGGGGAGAGGCCTGGCGCGCCCCCTGCGGGATGGGAGCGGGGGTGCGCCAGGGAATCCCCGGGAAAGCTCTCCATACTCCGCGCCGGTCCCAGCGCACCCGCACCCGCACCCTCGGGCGGCCCTCCGGAGCCGGTGCCGGGGCGAAAGCACTCGCGTGCACTCACGCACCGTGCAGCCCGGGGGAGGCTCCTGAGGGCGGGGCGGGTGGGCTGACGGAGCCGGGGTCAGGGTCCGAGCAGAAAAGGAAAGCTGGCATCTCTCCCCTCTCCCGGGTGCTCACACCCTGGGGTGCTCGCTGCAGCCTCCGCCGGGCCAGGTGGGGCCGGGTCCCCGCGGCGCCCCGCTCTACAGCCCGGGCCGGGCGCCCGGGGTCGGCTGGCGTCTGCGCTCTGACCGCACCGGGTGCCGCGGGCTCGAGCGGGTGACCCCGACCCTGCGGAGCGAACTTCCCCCGCCCCTGCCAGCGGCCAGGGCTCCGGGGAGGCCGCAGCACCGAGACACGAGAGCGCGGAAGCCGCGCGCGGCGCAGCCAGGGCCACGCTGGCGCTCCCTCCCCGGCGCCCGCGCGCCCCCAGCCCCGGTCACCGCGCTCTCCCAGCGCTGCCCCGGCGGAGACTGACTGCGCGGCCCAATACCCTGGCCCCGGGGTGCGGCCGACCGCCCCAGGGCGGCGTCCCAGGTCCCCGCTTCCCGGCCCGCGCGCCGGCCCCGCCCCCGGCGACCGCCGGCACCGTCCCAGCCGCCCGGAGCCCAGGACGCGTGCGGCCGGGCCCCGCCCCCGCCCGGCGGCCCCGCCCCCGCCCGGCGGCCCCGCCCCCGCCCGGCGGCCCCGCCCCCGCCCGGCGGCCCCGCCCCCGCCCGGCGGCCCCGCCCCGCCCGGCGGCCCCGCCCCCGCCCGGCGGCCCCGCCCCGCCCGGCGGCCCCGCCCCCGCCCGGCGGCCCCGCCCCCGCCCGGCGGCCCCGCCCCCGCCCGGCGGCCCCGCCCCCGCCCGGCGGCCCCGCCCCCGCCCGGCGGCCCCGCCCCCGCCCGGCGGCCCCGCCCCCGCCCGGCGGCCCCGCCCCCGCCCGGCGGCCCCGCCCTCCAGCGCCTCCGCAGCCACAGGGGGCGGGGCGCAGCGCGCACCACGTGGCCTCTGGGAGGTGAGTAGCGGCCGGGCCGCGCCTCGGCACCCGGTGTGTCCGGTTCCGCTCCGGGCGGCCCCGCGCCCCTGGGCCCTTCCCCAGGCAGCTCCTGGCGCCCCGGGTGGGTGGGCGCCCCGCTTGGCCTGGGGTCCCCAAGGGCCGTGGACCGCTCCGCCGCCTCTCATCTCCCCCTCCCATCTCCACCCGGATCCCGGGAGCTGCGGGCCCGGGGGAGCGAAGTGGCGCCTGCGGGCGCCGTGGAGGGGCGGGCGGGCAGGTTTGGGGGACCCGGGAGGCCTCCTCGCCGCGGAGGACCCGGTCTGTGCAGGACCCTCACGGCCAGGCTCCGTCCTCCAGAAGGAGGTCCATCAGCCGGCCTGGGTCTCCGCGCCGGCGCGGCCCGTGGCTGCACGGTGAGCGCCACCGGGGAGGGCGGAGGCCGGACGGAAACCGAAGGCGGGAACACCGTCCCCGCGGCCTGGGCGGGGCGGAGAGCGCCACCTTCTGCCGGGTCCTGGGCCGGCACCGCCGCCCGCTCACGCTCCAGCCCCAGTCCTGACAGCGCAGTGTGCAGGGCGTCCTGCAGGAGCTGTGCCGGTCTGGGTGCTTTTGCCCAAAGACCCCCTTTGGGATGAATTCAGAGCCACATCTCACTTCCCACGAGACTGGGAGAACCATGTAGGAGGAATTGGACAAAAGCTTTCCACATCTGTGCATTCCTTTGAATCCACAAAAGGACCTTAAAGAAAGCACTGGGACCGCCGGAGAGAGAAGGCGCTCTGGCCGGAGCACGCAGGATCCTTTGCCCAGCAGGTTGGAGGAGGCGGAGAGCGGGCAGTGCACATGGCCCTGGTGCCCTACGAGGAGTCGGCGGAAATGGGGCTGCAGAAATTCCACAAGCCTCTAGCCACCTTCTCCTTCGCAAACCACACCGTCCAGATCCGCCAGGACTGGAGGCAGCTGGGAGTCGCAGCCGTGGTCTGGGACGCGGTAAGCAAATCACTGATTTTTTAAAGTAAAATCACCATGCTCAATTTTTAAATATTTTCACAACCCCATCCCCTCCAAAAATACTCTACCCGCTTTCCTGATCGTCTTCCCCAAAAGAGACTGCATTGTAAAGGTGGGTAAAGGAAAGTTGAGGGAAGTTAAAATAAAGCACAAAGGATATTGCAAAATGATAAAGCCCAAAGTGAAGGTCATGTGTTTTCTTTTTTTAAAATATTTTTTTTATTGATTTCAGAGAGGAAGGGAGAGGGAGAGAGAGAGAGAGAAAAACATCAATGATGAGAATCACTGATCAGCTGCCTCCTGCACACCCCCTGCTGGGGATCGAGCCCGCAACCCAGGCATGTACCCCTGACTGGAATTGAACCAGGGACCCTTCAGTCCACAGGCCAATGCTCTCTCCTTTAAGCTTGCAGGCCTGGTCCCCCCAACTGCTCTCCCCTGCAGGCCTGGGTCCTCCCCCACACCCCCAGCTGCCCTTCTTTGCAGGCCTGGTCCCCCCAACTGCTCTCCTCTGCAGGCCTGGGTCCCCCCTTCCCTGCAGGAAGTATTAAGGAAGTTAGAGGCACATTTAGGAATAAAAATCAGTATGTGTAACTGAGTAATACTTCCAGGAACCTAGTCTAAGGTAACTACATGGGAAGTATTCCTAGGCCAAGCAGTAAGGACAGACAGTAGCGAGGAGTGGGTGGGCCTCCTCAGTGCTCACCGAGAAGAGCGAGTGCTCAGGAGACCAGCAGTGAGTGGCCAGGAGAACAGACGTTTAAAACCGTGCCAGCAGTGCCCAGTGCGCCTGTGGGATTGTATGCGGGCGCTCGCTCACAGGCCAAGTGTCCAGAAGGCGGCTAACACTCCCCTTTGATGCCCAGTGATGCGGCCTAGGGCTCCTGCCGGGTGGTGACAGAGGGAGGCACGCGGCCCGGGGGCCTCGGCTGCTGCTCCGCTTGTCTGAGAAACTGGCTTAGACACTGGACATTCCCTGAAGCAGAATCACAGAGCCCGTCGGTGCCAGGGAGTCTGGGGAGCCCGCGTGTGAGCAGTGACACATAAGAAACGAGTCTTCCCGGATTCAGCGGGACCCCGTGTCCTGTGGGCAGCGTCGTGGACCACTGCCGTCCCCGTGGGGCCTGTGGGACGCTGGGCCGCGCTTGCTCTGTGCGGTCACCTTGGTCTCCTCCCGCAGCACCTGCGTCCGTGCGTGCTGATCGCCTGGGTGTGGACCCTGGCAGCGGGAGAGGGGTGCCAGGATGTCTCCTGCCGGCGCCCCTGACGATGACGTCAACCCCAGCACTGGTTGACGTCATCACCCCCCCCCCCCCCCTGTGTTTGGACGCAGGCCGTCGTCCTCGCCACGTACCTGGAGATGGGAGCCGTGGAGCTCCGGGGCCGCTCCGCCGTGGAGCTGGGTGCCGGCACGGGGCTGGTGGGCATCGTGGCTGCCCTGCTGGGTGAGTGTGGCGCGCGGGCCATCCTGGGGGGATATTTTGTTTTTAAAGCCTGTTATTGTCTATTTCCTCACTTGCGTGCAGGCTCTGGGAGGTGGGCGTTTTTGTCCAGTGGCCACTCGAATGTTTGTGGAGCTGACAGATGTTCTGGGGGAATGAATGGTCAGCCGTCGTCAGGATCCTATTTCAGAAGCAGAGGAGGCCCACGTCGGAGAACTATTGAAATGGCGGGCACAGTGCTCTCTGACTGTTAAAAATCCAGAGCCCTAACCGGTTTGGCTCAGTGGATAAGAGCGTCGGCCTGAGGACTGAAAGGTCTCAGAGGTTCGATTCCGGTCAAGGGCATGTACCTTGGTTGTGGGCACATCCCCAGTGGGAGGTGTGCAGGAGGCAGCTGATCGATGTTTCTCTCTCATTGATGTTTCTAGCTCTCTCTCCCTCTCCCTTCCTCTCTGTAAAAAATCAAAAGAAATATGTATTTCCAGAGATAGCACTAGCCAGCTTGGCTCAGAGGATAGAGCATCAGCCTGCGGACTGAAGGGTTGTGGTCAAGGGCATATGCCTGGGTTGCAGGCTCGATCCCCAGTAGGGGGCATGCAAGAGGCAGCTGGTCAATGATTGTCTCATTATTGATGTTTCTCTCTCCCTCTATCTTCCTTTTGAAATCAATCAACATATATACTGCATCTAAGAAATCAGAGGTAAAATTCTGAGTCGAGCTGGGAAAGGCTGTCTGATTTCGGGAGAGATGAAGGATCACCGCCTCCCCTCCCAGGCAGCACACTGCCTAGCAATGGACAGACAAAGCGGGAGGTCCGGGCTTGTCACATCTGACAACTGGAACATGCTCACAGCCCCACACTCAGGACGGTAAATGTCCGAGTGAATTATTGAATACATGCCGTCCTCACCTAGTGTTGTAGCTCAAGATAAGAAACCTTGGGTACAGCTGCCTCTGATACAGCAGCTCCGGAAGCCGGGGGAGTGGAGGCGAAGATAACGGACTGAAGAAGGGGCCAATGGGAACTTTAGGGAGAGAATGAAACAGAATTTCAAATTCCAGAGCTGATAGGGCCAAAATTCAACAGGATCGATTACACATGCCATGTTATTCTAATGTAGACGAACAGGGTCGGTTCAGGGCTGAATTTACGTGGAGCTTTATTTTAAGGATTCAGCCTCTCTCACATATCTTAGTTCAAAGAATTGGTGGGTCTTTTGTTCACAGTCAAAACCCACAAGGAAGAGATTAGTAAAATACCGCCTCACTAATTTTATACACTGCACGTGGAAACCTAGCACTTAGAGGACATGCTCCCACGGTTTAACCCACAGCACTTTAGTACAGCCTAGTAATTTCTTCTCAGATTACGAGAGAATGATCATTGAGAAAGTCACAGAGGTAGCGGGAGTGAGCCAGCTGGGCTGCCTGGGCTCAGGAGACAAGTTGTAGAGGCAGGAGAAGGGCCCTTGGATCTTAGGAGAGAGAGAGGCAAAAGTAGAAGGCCTGGAGGCCCGGGGGGTGCGGGCAGGGAGAGGAGGAAGGGGAAGGCAGGGGCATGCTTCTGAGAGCCAGAGAGTACACCACCACCTAGCAACTTCTAAGTTTACCATTTTTCAATAACCGCTCGCGCGCACGCTCTCTCTCTCTGTCTCTCTCTCGTAACATAAATACATATAAATTGGCTGCTTTCTAACAACATAAGGAGAAGTAGACTAGGATTTCCTTTTTTTTTTTTAATATATTTTATTGATTTTGTTCAGAGAGGAAGGGAGATAGAGTTAGAAACATCGACGAGAGAGAGTCATCCATCAGCTGCCTTTTGCACACCCCCTACTGGGGATATGCCTGCAACCAAGATACTTGCCCTTGACCTGAATCGAACCCGGGACCCTTCAGTCCCCAAGCCGACGCTCTATCCATTGAGCCAAACCGGTTTCGGCGGACTAGGGTTTCTTAGTAGCCAGTTAATCTCCTCCTTGGTTCATTTTAAAGCTTTAATCCCAGAAAGTAGCCCTCCCCTTGTTTCTGCTATCTTGACATCTTCATAATCATTTGCTCCCAGATTTTTCATTGTGGGATTCCGTTTTACCCAGAAGCCTCCTGACTCACAAGATTGCAACCTAATGAATGACATGTAGAGGTAGACACCTCTGGAGGGAGGCCCAGCTCTGCCTGCAGAACGGAGAAGCCCCCGCTTGCTGTCACTGGGGACCCTGCACTTTCTAAGGTTCGCGTTTACAGTAGGCTGTGCAGGAGGAGCCACCCTGAGAGGCATGACCTGCACATCAGGGGGAATGTCAGGCGCCCACACTGCCCTTTAACTTGACCCGAGACCTGTTAGTTGTACTGATGGGACATTACTCTCTCTCTGTCCCACGTTCTAGGTGCTCAGGTGACTATCACGGATCGAAAAGTAGCACTAGAATTTCTTAAGTCAAATGTTGAAGCCAACTTACCTCTGCATGTCCAGCCCAGAGCCGTGGTGAAGGAGCTGACCTGGGGGCAGGATCTGGGGAGCTTTTCACCCGGAGAGTTTGACTTGATACTGGGAGCTGATATCATCTACTTAGAAGAAACGTTCGCAGACCTTCTTCAGACTCTGGTGCATCTCTGCGGCAGCCAGTCCGTGATTCTCTTAGCCTGCCGGATCCGCTACGAACGGGACAGCAACTTCCTAGCGATGCTGGAGACGCAGTTTACCGTGAGTAAGGTGCACTATGATCCTGAGAAAGACGTCCATGTTTACAAAGCACAGAAGAGGAGCCAGAGGGAGGGCTTGTAGTTGGCTGCAATTTATAGGAATGTTGTCATTAAGTGTTGTCAACGAAGGTCTTAGCTGGGGGAATCTAACCATGAAATGGCTTACTGAACAGAGTCTAATGAAAGGTTCTTGAGGAACAAACTGCTGTGAGTTTGTAGTCACTCTCCCCCTCACTCTGAAACCCAGTTAACATTCCGAAGGGTGAGCTCTGGTCCCTGTTGTTCCTGTATCCCATGTGCTCCCTCCTGGTAAGCGGTTTTCACTGGTACCGTGAAGGGCTGGCCTAACAGCATCTTCAAAGCAGTGAGCCCGTTTTCTTTAGTGAGATCCTACATCGTGCAAATCACTTCGAACACATTCTGAGATACATGTTGAGCTCATTTTCCTAATTTTCTGAATATAAGACAAGGTTTAACGTACATTCCCTGAGCTGTTAGTGCTGTTGAAACATTTTGTCTGCCCGTTTCGGTCTTACTTTCAGTTGTTTGAAGATTGGGACACAAGTTCCCTACAGTCTCATAGCATGCTTTTTGGATTAATTTCAGCTGTAGGTATATGAACAAAGGGAATCAGGAAAAATAACGTGTCAGCTACTTTTGAAAGCATGTGAAACCTTGGACCTCCATGGGCTCTGACTAGGTTATCATCTTCAGATCAAAAGCCGCTTTTCCCTTCACCTCTCCCCTTCCTCAGATGTTTTTGTAGTTCTTTCCTGGGCTTTCCCTGCCTCCTCGGAGTGCACAGGATGGCATTGAACAAGTTTTAAATCTCACCCCTCCGTGAGGTTCCTCTCCAAGAAGTTGTTCCTCCCGGAGGGCACTTATCACTGCTGGTTTGGGTCCCTCAGGTCACTGAGCTCCTGAGCACCACCAATGCTCTGCCTTTATTTTGCCTCCCCAGTGTTTGGTAGTAAATTTGTTGAGTGAAAAAGATGCATTCCATTTAGACAAATTTATCTTTGGGTTAAATGATTGCTACATTGTTTCATGATTATCTTTGTGATAGACCTGATGAATGAACCAACATTCCCCCATCCTTTTTTTTTATGATGTAAAAGCTTAACATTTGTAGACCACAAAATCATCGTCTCCGTATGGTATTTGATGTTATAGATTTTCTTTGTAAAACATCAGAAACAAGGCCCCCTTTTAACCTTTGAAAGAGTATTTGGATATGAAAATACCTGCTACGTTATTTTCTGCATATTGTAAATAGAGGATTTAATAAAGGTGAATTAAAGCCTTAGCCGGTTTGGCTTAATGGATAGAGCGTTGGCCTGCAGGACTGAAGGGGCCCAGGTTCGATTGCTGGTCAGGGCACATGCCCAAATTATGGGCTTGATAACCAAGTGGGGGGCATGCAGGAGGCAGCCGATCAATGATTCTCATATTTGATGTTTCTGTCTCTCCCTTCCTCTCTAAAGTCAATAAAAATATATTTAAAAATAAAGGTGAATTAAAAGTTTTGAGTATTCTGTGATGTTATCAGTTCAACACAATTCTGATGCCCAAGAAATAAAAATACCCAGTTTACCAAATCCATAAAATGCCAGTATTGTGCATGAATGTGGTCTTTTAAAACAAGTAACAAGAGCCCTGCAATATCAGCACTAACAAAAGGCCAATCACATTCAGGCATGCTATTAGAAATCATTGTATTCACCTCCTTTGCTTTAAAATCCCTAAACTTTGGCCTGGCCGGCATGGCTCAGGTTGAGCATCGACCTAGGAACCAGAAGGTGACGGTTCAATTCCTAGTCAAGGTATATGCCCACAGGCAGCTGATCAATGATTAATGATTCTCATCACTGATGTTTCTCCCCCTTTCTGAAGTTAATAAAATAATATATACATATCCACACACACACACACACTTTGAATGAAATATGTAAAATGATTTGGGGTGGAGAGCTCTACCAAGAAAGCACTGATAGGGTTGTTTTACATTTTCATAAAGCATTATAAGCCCTGGCCAGGTAGCTCAGTTCATTCATGTCTGTTGTCCCTATTAAAATCCCCCCTTCACTCTCAAAAATGTCTGTATAATAAATTATGTGGTGCCCACTCTTCACAAATAAAAAAAATAAAGTCAGAAAATTCCTTTAATACAATGGCAGGTGTAACAGGCTTCATAAACACATCGTGTACTTAAGAATAAGTGCAACTGCTGTTTTCAGAAACTGAGTCAATAGTATGAATCTTTTATTCATATGCTTTAAGCAAGGAGCAGATTAACACATTCCCTCCTTTTATAGGATCACAGAACTTCAGAATCATAAGGGGACCTGAGAAGTTAGCAATTATTGTTCTTCCAATGCAAACATGCGTTTTATGACATCAGAGAGAGTTGGTCACATGTCTCCCATGGGTGGTCTCAATAGAGCAGTAACATCTCCGAATCTTCAAATAGGCACTGATCAATCTTACTGCACAAAGAAATCTTGTGCTAAAAATTAGGAAGACAGGAAAATTAACTGAAGATATGTTCTTGTTGCTTGAATTAGTTTCCTGTTGCTCTGCAACACAAGCTTGTGATATATTCTAACATAACGTTTGCTCATTTAACAAAAGTAATAAATGTAAGTCCAAGAAAATATAGCTTAACACGACTGGCAAAAAACTAGAGACCCCATCCCCAAAAAAGAGACTTTGAGTTTTTAAAAGCATGTTTTATGTGACTGCACATAAATGTGTGTAAAAGGGCAATGACAGTTTTTACCACAAAGATTACAGTAAGAAAAAGCACTTTATGACAATATTTCACAAATTCACAAGGATCACTTTAATATACAAAGCAATGCTACCATTCTGAACACAAACCAGCTATGTACATAGTGTTAATAAAATGCTTTATAATTCAGTACATTTTATTTCTTTACACAGATAAAGCACAAAAAGATTTAAGTAAAAAAATTAAAACAGGGATGTTTCTAGAATGTAGGAAATTGTATTAGAAATGTATTTTCCTCATTATAGTTCTTTATTTAGTATTCAACTCCAATAGCAACATCAGAGTTGAAAATCAATACCCTGTTTTGTGCTGATAATTTTTGGGGGAGGTATTTGTTACCCCAGTCCTCAAAGGAAAACCAAAAAAAGCAAACACCTTTCTCTCTAGAAACTTCCCTGATTATTGTTTCTAAAAATTTTCAAGTGATACATCCAGGTTAGGATAATTCCTTTTTGGGGTGGGGATGATAACCAACATGTGGACAAATCGGTTAGGAACAACTTTACATTGGAAAACTGCTAACTAGCACTCTTGTTTGCCACCCCTAATAAATCTATACTCACAGAAAAATGCTGACAAATTATTTCCCACTTTTAATATAAATAATTTTATTACACACACAAATTGGAGTGGCACCTGGATAAAAATACATCTATAAAGCATTTACCGATTCAGTTTTAAAAACATAAGAAAATAAAACCTCCCAAACACAATGCTAGATCATTTCACTTGGCCAACTAAGCTAAGTTGCAGGGATTTTCTCCCATCCTTACCAATTTTTCAACTATCTCTGATTTACTTTCACATCTCTGAAATGCTTCTCAGACAGAAGCTTGGAAATACTATACTTCTGTAGGCAAATATTAAATAATGCCTGTATAAAGTAGGTAACATTTGAATTCCCTACTGCTTGACCCTTTCAAAGACATTTTCTGAAGACTGTTCCTTTTCCTTGCTGGTGAGAATTAAAAATGTATCGTTATACCAAGCTAGGACCTGCACCCACAGTACCAGAATGCAGACAGGTCAATATTTTCTCTGTGCTAAACAACTCTGCCTGTTTTATATTATCAATTTTGCTTCACAGGCTTTGTTCTATCCCCCCTCCCCCCATTTTTATTTTTAAAAATAAATTTCAAGCTAAAACACCTGAAATATAATCCCTCCATTTAAACGTTATCTGGTCCCTCTTGAAGTCTGCCCCTGAGGACACATACAAAGGCTTAAGCTACATTCACTAATCAGTAAGAACTTACCATGAGCATGAGACAGATGGAACTGCAGCACCCTGTTTGATTTATTTGAAATTCTTCCATACTGACTCAGCTTCAGGGTATGTTCAACCCCGCAGGGATTAGTGCCTCTCTTAGCCAATGATTCTAGAAAGTCAAGGAAACCAGTTCCTAGTACATACAGTGACTGTGCAGTCAACTTAAAAAAGTCAACACATCAACATTAAAAGTATTCAAGATGTATGAAGTCACTTCAAGTAAGCCACTCACAAGTCTGGTTGTGCTTTGTACAACGGAGTGAGCAAATTTTATCCCACCTCTCTCCACCCAGAGGCTTACTAAGCACGCTTCTTTCTCCCTCCGCATCTGAAATCAGTCAAATTTAGGCAGCATCTCTTTGACGTTAACCAGGCCAATTTTAAGTGAAGTAAATTTAGTCAAATGATTACATGTGGCCTCCACTATGACAATAATTGCCTTGAAAATTCTTTTACCATTCTGGACAAATCCATGGATATCTTGGCATTCTATAGACAGTGTTAATGAGGATAAGACACTCATTTAAAATCGGAAATATTTATTCACTTGAGTTGCTTTTCTTCCCATCTTTATCCAAGATGAAAAAGAAAAGGGCCTCATTTCTAGTTAATGGGGCTAGACAAATCTAATTTACTGGTATTTTTCTTTTACAACTATAAGGCTAGACTGTAGGTGCTAAAGTATTTTAACCAATGAAAAGTTTTCATTTTTAAAAAGTCCCATTATTTGAAGGAGAAAGACATAAAAAGTCAGTTGACAATTAATTGATGAGGGAATTTCTCAAGTTGATACCCAAACCGGGTAATTTTTAAAAGTGCAAGTTATACCAAACATTTACAAAGAATATAATGTCAATATAATCCAAACAAATATACAACTTTTGTATTAAGTCAATGGGAAACAATATACCAACAGTCTTCAGGGCTACAAAGGCAATAAAATAAAGCCTCTTGAAAATAACCAAAAATGTATATAGTCACTGTTTCTAAAACACACTTTAATGAAAAATAAATCTTAACTTTAAGATATAAGCTTTATTTAATCCTGCAAAATGAAGCAGCTTTTTTTTTTAATCTTCAAAATAAAGAGACAAATTTATGCTGACTGTATCTGATCACAGAATTTAAAACATATTAAAAATGAAAAGAAGGAATCTAGATTGAAGTCACTTCAAGTAAGTAAAAGCATCCTGGTTTAAACAAACTTATTTCTTCCTAAGCCTTTGTATGATTCCACATGTCACCCGAATGGTCCGAATGATACTAGGGATTAGGCCTGAGAGACAGAGATAAACTTCTGCCAGGTGACTTCTGATTGGACAGCCTGCTGGCTGGCACTGTGCTTTCAGATACTAGCACTGCTGCTGACCTTCCACAAAACACATTTTCTGACAAAATCCCTGCTCAAACGAAAAGACCAAAATTCCTGCCCCAGGATGATTTCTGAAATGAGTGGTACCTTCTAGAAGCTATCTTTAAATGTTCTTACCACGGTTATAGCTGCCAGAGACAAAGCATAAAAACCAAATACTCTGGGGTGGAGGGAGTTTTCAAGTGACTAGTAACATGTTTAAAAACATCAAACCAAAGAAAACAAACAATAATGATAATTTAAAAAAAACACTTGGAAGAAAATTAGAAGACAAAAATCAATCATGAGTGCTGGAGTAACGCAGTCCAAGAAACTATCAAAAGGTATGCAATAGAAAACGCAAAAATGTAAAATTTCACCTAACCTCAATATACTATAATACTCGGCATTCCTGACTTAAGAGCTCTCAGAGCTTCAGATTATATACTATACTGTATGTATATATATATATGTATATATGTACACATTTATCATACAAATGCCATTCCCCCCCGAGAATATCTAAAGAACAGAGCACCTATGACAGTATTATGGTTGCCAATATGGTACTTCAGTTTAAGAGAATGAACTTAAAATTACATCTGATATCAATTTTTTAATGTGAACACATTGGATCTAGCCCTTTCTAAACCACTTTTCAGTTACACACTATCAAAGCTTGAAAACTAATAAGAGTAATATCAAAAATAAACCCCTCCCACTTCATTTTTATTAGTTATTCTGTCCTATAGATAAAAGTGCCACATGGCCCTATGTTTGCAAAGTGATACCAAACTATTTTCTAGGCAAATCAGTAGCATATGTACAAATTCCTATGATAACATTTCCATTCCCTTTTGGCCAACATAAGAGAAAAAAAAACAATTATTACTAGTAAGATTGCCATTTATGTTCTTGGCTACAATATTTTTTTCATTATGTCATTTTCTTAATAAAAATTCTCAAAGTTGCATGCATAAAAACTAACTTTTCCCCCCAATTCTTGTTTAAAAAAAAAAAAATCTGCACAAAAGATGCTTAATTTCTATAAACTGAAATCTTCAAGTCTCTCCAAAGGTCTAAAGCAGATTTAGCAACAGAATACATTTGTTATCTCACCATTTAAGTAACTGACTTCAAACCAGTGCAATCATCCTCAGGTATAAAGGACTGGTCTTTCTACAATAACTTACAAATCCAACCATATAATATGGAAGTGATTGCCTTGATTCATCAGGGATTAAGAGGACCACCAAATTTCTAATTAAATAGAGAGCCTAACTTTTAAAAAAGAAATATCTTCCATTTACAACTTGCTAAATACTAGACAGTTTTCATTTATAAAGCTTATGACATTCAAAATGTTCACTCTGACTAATTACAAAAGAATTCTAGTTGGTGAACAAATTTGTGATTTTGATTCGTTTCTGTTAACCAATTTTGGAAAATGACATCTCTATACTGGTATACAAGTAATTTTTACATTCCCCATTAGCTCAGCAGGATAAACATCAATCTTTACAACTGTTTGAAAGCCTTCTTGAGAATATGGTATATTGTCAAAATACACTACATCACTCAATTCTTAGAATGATGCTTCTTCATAAACTCTGTTCATCCTTGAAAAAAGACAGTGGTTTGTTAAAAACAAAAATATACCTTTTACAACTATTAATTAAAAATTTCACTTTTAAAAATGGACCTAATAATTAATTCCGATCTGCATACTTTAACACATTAACAAAGTAAACTTTAAAAAATAATCCATAACTAAACATAAAATATTAATTTTCTTGACTCTCTTCTAAAAGAAACCTTCTCAAATGAGAAATGATATCTAACATTATGTCAGTCTCCAATTTTTTAAATTTACCTTAGTTTTATTTTTCTTTTATTAGTCTTATTTTTCTATTAAAGAATAATTTTTAGATTTACCAGGCTTAGTGATCAAATGAATAATTAACAAAAAGTAGTATTGGAAACAATGTATGATACATACAAGCACAGACTGTTCTAGTCAGGAGTTAAAAAAGATATCTCCTTTATAGAATGACAAAGACCATACTAGTATAGCTACTGGAAACTGAAAGCATAATTATCTTTTTTAGGATACTTTGCAAGAATAATAATCTAAATGTTGTAGAATACAGCAGTCATTCAAACATGTCTAAAGAAAATTACTTCCCTTGTCACATCTAATAGTGTACTTTTCAGAGCTATATTCTTACAACTTTGTTAAAAAAATTCAGTAGAGATATTCTGTTAAAGAATGTTAATACGGAAAAGATTTAAAATAAGTATTTTCCTACACATTTTATAAACAAACATATCACTTTGCTTTACTTAACATTTTGAAGGCTTTCCTATTGGTGGTATAATGTAAGTGCAAATGGGAACAGTTTAATTAGAAATTGTTTTTAAGTAAATGAGTGACAATATAAATATTTTTGAAGGCGATGACAAAAACATTTATTTAAAAACCTTGCTATATAACTCGGAGGGCTGGTTTTGAGTAAAGCATCTTTTTTCCTAAGAATTTTGAACTAAAACAAAATTTGTACTTACATTTATTTCAATTTAATTTAAAATTAAAATACCATGCCTTTTCATTCAGTTGGTTACTTCTCTTAATGTATTCAAAAATGTTGAACACATATACAACTAAATTAAGAAGCAACAACTGCCCTACAGAAGAGCTGTAGTTAATACAGAATGTTTTTAAGAATCAAGGATGTTTTCAGTATTGAAGAGATTGTACATAGAAAGCACTCCAAATTCATTCTTACTTTCTTCAACACCATTCTTTAGAGGGTATTTCTTTTAATGAGTTTACATAATTCACAATGAAACTGTAGAAGCATCAATTTGGCAATCACTTCTTCATTGCACCTTACTTACTTTATGCATGTGGCCCACACATTACTTCAGCGTTAAGAGGCTGGGGTAATTCTGTCCCTAAGGCAATCAAGGCGCTCAGCACAAATCTTGAAATTAAAAAATGTTTTCTTTTCCTCATTTCCCCCATCAATTTACAAAGTCAATCAATTATTACTTCTTGAGGAGGATGGGGGATGAACTGCAGAAGTCTCTTCATGATTCCTGGTGCTGAAAACTTCTTGAAGGAAAAAGTGGAGGCAGGTGTAGGAACATTCACAGTTTAATGCAAAAGCACAAACGAATGAAATTCTGTAGTTGCTTTCAGGCAGTTTTGCGCATAGAAAAAAAGAAATGTTTAGAAAATAAAACGTTTATTTTGTCTTTCTGGTTGTGGCCAAGCCAGTTCTTTGTCCAATGTAACAGGTGAGATTTAAATCCCAAATTAATCTGATTTGTGGCAGTAAAGGTCCTTAAGTGCTTTTAGCTCCTCAATCAGTGTCTTGTTTTGGTTTTCAAGCACTGCCACTCTGTTTTCTAAACACTTCACATATTCTTTCTTCTTTCTACGGCACTCCCGTGCTGCTTCCCTATAAGCAACAAAAAGGAAATATTTTGTAACATTTCTAAATCATTTATTGTGAGTTGGAATAGATTTCTTTTTTTAGAAAGTTAGCTCATGTTATTTTAATATATTATAAATTTAGCATTTGAAAGAAATACAGAATGAATTGGAAGTTGCCTTATATAAAACATTTAATTTTAATATACCACAGAAATTTGATTCAAAACACCCCAAATGTGAAAACTCCACAACCAAAAGGGCTGGACAGTCACTTAAAAATCGTATTTTTAAATGTTTATTAAAATGTTCTGCATCATAAGTATAAAACTTGAAATTCTATCAATATCAGTAATTAATAAGTGATGAAGGCAAATTTTAGTGTGAAAAATCATCCTTTAAATCAGGGGTGGGGAACCTTTTTCTGCCAAGGGCTATTTAGATAATTTGTAACATCATTTGCAGGCCACACAAATTATCAACTTGAAAATTAGCCTGCTATATTTGGTCAAATAATTAATTAACTCACCCTTAATGCATTGGCAGGGCCAGACCAAATGATTTCATGGGCCTTATATGGCCCGCAGGCTGGACATTCCCCATCCCTGCTTTGAATAGAAAGATCTCACAAACTCATTATTTCAAAGCATTTTAAAAAATCTAACACAAGTCTCTTCAACAAATGATGTTGAGAAAATATACAAAAGAAGACAGTTGAACCCTTATCTTATACCCTATACTAAATTTAAATAAAAATGGATTAAAGACCTAAAGCTGTAAAACATCTAGAAGAAAACAGTGGAAAAGCTTTAAAACAACTCAGTTAGGCAGCGATTTCTTGGCTATGTCACCAAAAGGACAGGCAACAAAGTAAAAGTAAACATGAAAGCAAATATGAAAATGTGACTACATCAAACTTAAAAACCTCTGCACATCAAAGAATACAATGAACAGCGTAAAAGAGCTACCTATAAAATAGGAGAATATTTGCAAATCATACGGAGTTAATATTCACAATATACAAAGGACACCTACAACTCAACAACAAAATAACTGGATTAAAAAACGGGCAAAGGATTTGAATAAACATTTATCCAAAGATATACAGATGGCCAAAGATATACAGATGGCCAACAAGCATATAAAAAGAATGCTCAATATCAATCTAATCATTAGAGAAATGCAGATCAAACTACAATGAGGAATACCCTCACAGCCATTAGGACTACTATAAAACAACAACGACGACAAACAAAAGCAAATAACAAGTGTTGATGGGGAAGTGAAGAAATTTAAAAACTTGTACGTTGTTGGTAAGAAGGTAAGATAGTGCAGCCAGTATAGAAAACACTATAGCAAGTCCTCAAAAAATTAAAAAGAGAATTTCATGTGGCTCAGCAATCCCACTTTGGGGGATATATCCAAAAGAATTGAGAAGGATACTGCAGAGACATTTGCACACCCATGTTTCTAATAGCATTGTTCACCATAGTCAAGAGACAGAAGGAAAGCAACCCAAGTATTGATTCATAGATGAACACATTTTAAAAATGTGGTGTATATATAAACAATGGAATATTATTCAGCCTTAAAAATGAAGGAAATCCTGTCACACGCTACAACATGGATGTATTCTGAGGACATTATGCTAAGTAAAATAAGCAGTCACAGACAAATACTTTATGACTGCACTTCTATGAAGTATCTAAAGTAGTCAAATTCATAAAAACAGAAAGGAGAATGGTGACTGCCAAGGACTAGAGAAGGAGGGGGAAATAAGGGAAGTTGTTTATTATGAAGTATAAGTTTTGCCAGATGAAACAGTTCTGTAAGTCTGTCGCACAATAATGTGAATATACTTAACACTATTGAGCCTGTATACTTAAAAATGGCTAAGATGGCAAACTTCATGTTTTCTTACCAAGATTAAAAATAAGTTTTTAAAAAATCTAAGATATTAAAAGTAATAAATATTTTTTAGCAAGCTATTAAGTCACTAGCCGGTGAATATGTTACTGACATGGTAAAGGAGGAGTATGGCTGCAAGCAGAATTAAGGTTGTTAATCAGCTGATCTTAAAATAAGAAAATTATCCTGGATTATTATCTGAGTGGGGCCAATGTATCAGAAGGGTCTCTAAAAGTGGCAGAGAGCCAGAAGATCCTATGTAATAGAAGAATAATATGCAAATTGACTGCCCCCATGTGGACACAAGATGGCTGCCACAAGATGGCCAGCAGGGGAGGGCAGTAGGGAGGGACCAGGCCTGCAAGGGAGGGCAATTACGGGCTATCAAGCCTGCAGAGGAGGGCAGTTAGGGTGATCAGGCCTGAAGAGGAGGGAAGTTGGGGCAATTGGGCCTGCAGGGAAGGGCAGTTGGGGAGGACCCAGGCATACAGGGGAGACCAGCCCTGCAGGGGAGGGCAGTTATGGGTGATCAGGCCTGCAAGGGAGGGCAGTTAGGGGCAATCAGGCTGGCAGGGGAGTGGTTAGGGGGTGATCAGGCTGGCAGACAGAAGCGGTTAGAGGCAATCAGGAAGGCAGGCAGGCGAGCAGTTGGGAGTCAGCAGTCTTGGATTGTGAGAGCGATGTTCCAGAGTGGAGAAGGTGCAGGCTGGGCTGAGGGACACCCTCCCTCCCACCAATGCACAAATTCTGTGCACTGGGCCTCTAGTATGACTATAAAAGGAAGACACAGCAAGATGTTACACTGATGACTTTGAAGATGGAGAAGGAGCCATGAGCCAAGGAATGTTAGGTAGCCACTAGACGTTGGAAGGGCAAGGAGACACTCTCTCCTGGAATCTCCAGAAAGGAGCGAAGTCCTGTATGCTGGAAAATGGAGTACATATTGTGTTCACAGAATGAAAGCATCAGTATTGTTAAGATGCTCCTCAATTTGGCCTATAAACTCAACACAATCCTAATAAAAATCTCAGCAAACTTTCTCATAGACATCAACAAACTGATTCTAAAATTTATCTGAAAATGCAAAGGAACCAGAATGGCTAAAACAATTCTAGAAAAGAACAAAGTTGGAGGACTCACATTATCCAATTAAAAACTTACTAATAGTAAACTAGACAGAATGATATTGACAAAAGGGAGACAGACCACAAAGCAGATAACACCTTGTGCATTGTTGGTAAGAAGGTAAGATAGTGCAGCCAGTATAGAAAACACTATAGCAAATCCTCAAAAAATTAAAAAGAGGATTTTAATCACTTTCCCATCAACACTTGTCCAGAAACAGACCCACACAAATAGAGTTGGTTAATTTTCTATTGTACAAAAGTGCAATGGCAATAGAGAAAGGACAGTCTTTGTAACAAATAATGCAGGAAAATGAGTGTCCATATACAGAAAATGAAACTTGACACACCTCACACTTTATACAAAAGTTAACTCCAGAGGGATCATAGGCCTAAATGTAAAACAATTTCACATTTGATATAGAACAATTGGATCTCATATGTTGTTGGTGGGAGGGCAAATAGTACAACCATTCTGAAAAAACAGTTTGGCTGTTTTCTTATAAAGTTAAATATATACTAGTATTCCTCTCAGTAACTTTATTCATAATCCTCCAAAGCTGGAAAGAACTAATATGAACTTCAGGGTAAACCAGAGTACATATATACAATGAAACATCAGAGATAAAACCAATTATTGATTCATGCAACACTACTTAGTGAATCTTGAATGCATTTTGCTATGAAAAAAGCCAGATCCAAAAGACTATATACTGTATGATTCCATTTATGTTAGATTCTGGAATATGCAACCCTGGATGGGCTGTGGGTTCCTGTTTTATGAGAGAAAACTGAGGTTTAAAAGGTTAATATGTTCTTCTAAAATCACAGTAAAAGGGGTAAATACAGGACTTGAATTCAGATCTTTGATGTTCAATCTCTGTTTCTTTCGATTTATTCATAGTGTTTGAAGACTCTTGGGGTTAATAGCAGAGGCATATTTTCACCAATTTATAACTTGTTATATCTTTATATACCTCATTTTCATTTTATTAATATTAAAATCCTAAGGTAAATATAAGCAAATAAAAATATTGTTTTTAAATGTCAAAATTATTTATAGCTATGAACTTACTTTATGATATGTAGCATTTTTATTGTTGATGACTAATTCTATTTTAAAATTTTGTCAATTACAAGGTATTCTTAGACAATCTATTTTCAAAGAATATTTAAGTATTAAACTATTACAATTTTGAGTAAAGGTAATAGTCATTAAGCCATGGATTAGCTATCATACATTTACTATTTTACAAAAAAATTTAACATTTAATTTTAATAATATACATGAAACTATTGATCTTGAAACATACTGCTCATGAAAAGAAACAAATTTAAAAATACGTATATATATTTCCAGCCCTAGCCGGTTTGGCTCAGCGAATAGAGCGTCTGCCTGTAAACTGAAAGATCCCAGGTTCGATTCTGGTCAAGGGCACATGCCTGGGTTGTGGGCTCAATCCCCAGTGGGGGACTTGCAGGGGCAGCTGATCCATGATTCTCTCTCATCATGGATGTTTCTATCTCTCCTTCTCCCTCCCTTCCTTTCTAAAATCAATAGGGACTTAGGGACACACACACACACACACACACACACACACACACACATATACACATACATACATATATAATACACACACACACACACACACACATATATATATATATATTTTTTTTTAATTGATTTCAGAGAGGAAGGAAAAGGATGAGACAGAAACATCCATGATGAGAGAGAATCATGGATCAGTGGCCTTTTGCACACCCCCTGTTGGGGATCAAGCTATAACCCAAGCATGTGCCCTTGACCAGAATTGAACCCTGGACCCTTCAGTCCCCAGGCTGATGCTCTATCCACTGAGCCAAACCATCTAAGGCAAAAACAAACAATTTTTTTTTTTTTTAAACAAACTAGCCAGTTGGTTAAAGCATAATGAATATATAGCAAATTGTGCACTAAACCTTTCATGGGGAAATTGCAGAAAAAGAATACTACTTTATGATCAAAGATTAATCTATAATACTGTTAGCCATTTCCTAAGTGTAGTTTATTAAATAAAGAAGTTTTAGCAAGATCCATCAATTCTACCAGAAAAAATTCAGCACCAATATCCTATTGTCAGCAGATGTAAAAGACACACATCTGGAAGAATGTGAAGACGTAGCCGACTTACAACCATCTCAGTAAACAATGTAAGTACCTGTTCTTCATTAGCCGAACCTCTCTCTTCCGTGCGGCTTCTTCAGCAGGCTGTGTGGGGAGCGCGGGAGAGGAAGCCATAACAACGCCAGGGGCGATGGTGCTAGTGGGCGCTGTGCGAATCTGGTATGTCTGCACATCTCCAGAGGCCGCTGGAAAGAAAACGGTGAATGTGCTGTAAGACATGGAAGCACTGTGCCCTGTGAAACTAGGTATGCAATCATCAATCTAAACATACATTTTGGATTAAAGGAGGGTTCGGGGGGAGAGAAACATGATTCTGACTAAAATGGTGAAAGAATCAGCATTACTGAGAAGTAATTACTGAGAAATAATTCCCAACTTAATGTATTTATTAGTATAGAGCCTGGGGGGAGAGGTCTTAACCTACATCTGGTGGATTTTTAATTTATATTTCATTGGAATGCAGTTCTATTCTGCTGTTAACATGCTTACCAACCTTAAGTCTAAAAGGTAAGCAGGGCACAGCTTGGTTCATCTTCCTAGATATAGTCCTCAATGTCTTCCTTTGATATTGGTAAATTCATATTAAAAAATTTCAAGTAGACTCTTGCCACGACATAAAAACGACCATGATTTTTTCATCAAATAGCAAAATAGAAGAAAAAATAAAGCATTATGGTCAACTATTATAAATTTCTAATTGACACAAAACCAAGTATGAAAAAATATACCAAATGATGACAATTATATCATCTGTAAACATTGTTTAATGTATTAGTTATTCTTCTAACTAAATGATCTATTATTTGTGAAAAGAAATATAATCACTACTGGTCAAACTGCTTCTAAAAACAGCTTAGTAATATGCCCTCGTAAGAATTAGGAACCTAACTTTATCTGAGAGAATTTGAAGGACTTTATAAAATTATCCATATTTGTTAATATCAATTAAAATGTGTAGTTTGAGTGGAAAAGATTTATATACTAAACATGTTACCATCTTCAAACTGACGTTCAGAATTCAAATTCACTGACATCCTGCTTTACAATTTTTGAGTACCTGCATGTAAAGTGAAAAGGTGTTTTACTCCCATTAACAAGCAAAGTATTATCTTCTTCAACTATTATTTTTTAGTAACAGAATATATTCTGTAAATACATTTGGGCCCTTTAAGTAAATTATGACTCTCTCTAATTGATGTTTTAGAATTATTTAAAAATTATCTTCCATGATGAGGGGATGGGGCACAACTGTCATTATCTAACAGAGGCAAAACATATTAATAAAAACATTTTCAGAAACATTTTTTATTTCCTCAATATGCAAATTTCCAATCTGATATAAACCATGTATTAAAATATTAAAATAGTTTAAAAGAAAAATGATCAACTCTTATCCATAAAAGATAATCCTGAAACAAATCGGAAAAACAAAACTAAATTAAATTAAATAGAAAAAAAAGCTATTACTATAATTCATCAAGGACTTAACTACTACTTTTCTACATAGACCAGCAGAGTTACATACCGGTATAAGCTTTTTCAGAATACAATGCTTTCATTAGAAACAAAAAGCGATAATCTTAGATGATGATGATATAAATTTCTTTTGAGTAAAACAGCAGAGAAACAGAAATTTGAATCTCCAGTTTCTTATCAGTACAACTCTCTCATTTGACACATGAAAAAAAATGAGTCCAGGGAAGCTGAGTCTTATTCCAGGTCACATAGCAAATCTATGCAGAATATAAGCTAGAATCTAGCTTCCCTAACTCCTGGTTTTATTGTCTTTCCATTTAACCTACCCCATTTCTCCTATCCCCAAATTCTAGAGGTGTTAAAAATAGAAGTTATATTTTTAAAACTGAAAATAGTTGTTTTTATGCCATGACATTTTGGTCTAACTAGAATAATGGAAGATTTAGTGGAAAATTTATTTATAATGAAGAAAAATTTACATTTCAACAGTGTCTTACAGTATTATACTTACTTTTTCTGAGCTTACAAACTTTCAGCCTCTCAAAGAATGGACCATACCTGTGAAACCTGAATTCACTTACCTTGAACAACAACTTGGTTGCTGGGCACTAAGATCTGCTGTCCGTCAGTGGTCTGCGCGTACTGCAGAATGGTGGTGCCCGGCTGTGTGGCGGCTGCGTTGGTCATGGTTAATGTTTGCAGGCCCTGCACCCCATCGGTACCATTGTTAGCCAGTTGTATTGCTCCTCCCTGGGTAATGGCAACTAAAACCCAATGAATTTTATTGTTACAAGTTTAATTAATACCATATAGGACTTTTCCAACACACTAAATTCAAAGTAATTTGTGAGACATAAACTCGGAGAAACTATAACAGCAAATAACACCGGTAAGAAGGATTTGGTACTCGGAAGTACCTTTCTGCTCAGGAAACCCACAATCAATTTCTGTAATATAAATGCACTCTATGTACCACATTATAATTTATAATAATGTCTGTTAATTTTTTAAAAAGTAGTTAAATGAGAAAACATAAGAATTCCTTTGGAAGTTTTTTTGGTTTAGAGGAGGTACCATACTTGCTTTATTCTAGCACTACCTACCTAATATTCTGCTTAGTATTGGCTATCTCACTCAATTTCCTGAGGATAGGAAATGTGGTTTTTCTTCTCTACTTACATATTCTTATTGCAATAATGGGCATGTAATAGGCACCCAGTAAATAGTTGTCTTAATACATAATTAATAAAGTAGCTCAGTAGTACCTTCTTTTCTCTAACCTGCTAGCAATACACAACCATAACAAAAGTCCACTCAATGAAACAACTGAAATGTCCCATGGAACTTAATTATCAGTCTCTCATGGATTTTAAAATCAGAGCTTAAGATCATCATCTAGAGAAAAATAACATGATTGCTATTTCTAAGTTACTTATCCACACATTATCATATAGGATTTTTAAAAATATTATTTAGCCGAAACCGGTTTGGCTCAATGGATAGAGCGTCGGCTTGGGGACTGAAGGGACCCGGGTTCGATTCCGGTCAAGAGCATGTACCTTGGTTGCGGGCATATCCCCAGTAGGGGGTGTGCAAGAGGCAGCTGATCGATGACTCTCTCTCATCGATGTTTCTAACTCTCTATCTCTCTCCCTTCCTCTCTGTACAAAATCAATAAAATATATTTAAAATAAATAAAAAAATAAAAAATAAAAATATTATTTACTAACTAACCACAAATCATTCATCTGTTACAAAGTAATCAACTTTAGCTCATGCTATTAGATATTTCACTTTATAAAGAAAACTAGAGGTTCGAGGCACAAAATTCGTGCTAGGGGAAAGGCTCCCTCCCTCTCCCCGCCTCTGTGGTGGCCACCAGCCTCTGTCTTAGCGGCTTCATCTGGTCTAATTAACATATTATGCTTTTATTATTATAGAATTATTATAGATGAATTCACCTTTATGGTAGAGTGCATAAAGTTAATGAAAAGAAATAGATCATTATTTTATTTGGAAGGAGTAATCCTTTGGATGCAAGCATTGAGATAGTTGGATCCTTTTCTAGACTCTCTTCCTGTTTGAGTTCAAGTTTTCCAAAGAGACTAAAAATTACAATATTACATATAAAATTGCGTAACAGATTTTTAACTAAACAAGTCAACATGTCTGATTTAAGCATGCTACTTTTTGTGTGTTAGAAAGGAATTAATTTTTTAAAAATATATTTTATTCATTTTCCCCCCCTCCCTAAGGAATTAATTTGGGATTAACTCTCAGCTAGCTCTAGTAACTAATATCCTGAGTCATCCGAATATGGAAAATTGATTATCTATTGTTCAGTCAAGAAATAATAAAAGTTAATGGCTTTCATCTGGTTTACAAATAATAGCTGTGGAAATTAAGATACTGGCAAATACAGCCCCTTCACTTTAGCTAATCTTGTAAGTTTTACTAATTTCTGACAATGATAAAAAAAATCTGAGATTAATATTGCAAGATAGCTTGAAAGAATCAGAAGGTTAAGAGAACCAAGCCACAATTTTTCATGTATAGAGTTTATTAATAAGCAAATTCAATTGTATTTAACACATACAGCTTTCTTGGCTACCTACCCATGAACTCAAGGTGGGAGAAAGAAGTAGAAAACTAGATATCAGGAGATCTGGGGTCTAGTCCAACTTCCATCACTAAACTGTTATTTGAATCTGTTATCTCTTCTGTAAAAATAAAAATATCTGGTTCTAGCCACTAAAGTAAAATCAAATGAGATAATGTATATGAAAGTACTCTGAAAACTGAAGTCTGATTCTACCAAACATGGTTTTTCTCAATATTTATTATACAATAATTATTTCTTAATTATTCCAAAAGGATTTCAGATAGCTTTCAATAAAACTAAATTCATTAAAACAAGAAGAAAAAGATAAAAGTTAAGTGACTGATGTGTCTCTAGGTGTAAATAATAACCCTACCAGAAAATCTAGATGGAAAGAATGTAATTAAACATACACTTAGCTGAGATTCTCAGTAGCCAAAATAAAGAGGAAAACAATCTGTTATAGTTTTGTTCAGTGAAACAAAAAATTCAAGTTCAAAATGATAAACACGTTTTCTAACTAAAAATGGAATCTTTCAAGACTTTATTACCAGAGACAGTGAACCAAGTATGAAATTAGTAACAGTATTAATAAAAACCATAACCAATTTATGGAAGGAACGAAAATTGGCGCAGCCACTGGGAAAGGCAACTGGGAAGGATTCAACAATTCTACTCCTTGGATGCTACTTCACCAAGACATTACAACATATATAAGAATGTTCATATAGCATTATTTTAAACACTAGAGATGTTCTGTATGTTCATCAGTATGTATGTGTGGGAGACTGTTTAAATAAATACTATATTTATACAATAAAACACAATATAGCTGTTAAAGACACAATACACATAACTAGTGTATATAATGTCTATATAAACAATGCAGTTCTCACTTGTATAAAAATACATGATAACATGTGTCTGTATAAATAGAAAGAAAAAGAATGAAATAATATATACCAAATTTTTACTACCGGGAAGGGGTGAAAAAGAATTTTACTTCTTATTAATACTCTGAACCTATACCACTTGATTTTCACAACCATGTGTTCGTTTTATAAGTTAAGAAATACAAATAAATATTGTGTATGTAAGTAGGCATTATATTGGTTCTTAATTACAATCAAGAACATAACATATCAGTTCCATCAAGGCCATGTGTGCATATATACATATATACTCAGAATAAGAAAGTTAATGATTAAGATTTAAAAACCTCAAAGCATTAACCTTTAAAAACTAGTAATCTCAGTTGCTGGAGGAGAGCAGTTTGTCCAATTAAACATAAACATTGACTTTTCTGAACTTTGCTTTCCTATTTGAGATTCTGATGTCCCTTCTTCCTAAAGAGCATGCTTCCCAGTTCAAGTCGGACTTGCTTCACTAAGCAAATCACCATTACTAAGAGGGGCATGCTATCTCCCCCAGGCATGCTCAAGCAGGAAAAAAATAAAGGTCATGGCCGAGACCGGTTTGGCTCAAGGGATAGAGCATCGGTCTGCAGATTGAAAGGTCCCAGGTTCGATTCCGGTCAAGGGCATGTACAATACATTGGTTGCGGGCACAACCCCAGTGGAGAGTGTGCAGGAGGCAGCTGGTCGATGTTTCTCTCTCATCGACGTTTCTAGCTCTCTATCCCTCCCCCTTCCTCTCTGTGGAAAATCAATAAAAGTATACTTAAAAAAAAAAAAAATTTTTTTTAAATAAAGGTCATGTTTCTATGTCTTAGAACACATATCTTAAATAACACAAATTATCTGGTTATAAGGTTAAGAAATACACACATACATGTACATAGATAGTACCTGTTTATCTCTGCCAACAAAGAACTTAGAAAGAAAAAAGATAACTGAACTCTCATTAAATTTACAGAGTGGATAATAAACTTAGTAAAAAATGCCTTCCTTCTACTTACTATGAAAAGTTTCAGCTTTGAGAGAGCTAAAAAGTCTGCTACTTGCAAATTTGTTGTTAATCCAGCTGAAATGCAAACCAAGTTTGAGTTATAACTGGAAAACTATTAACTTGGAGTCAAACTTTTATACATATTCCTGACATAGGTTTCCCCAGGGCATTAGGAAACTAATGCAGGAAAGGAATTTCAAGGTGTACATTAAATTTATAATTAAGGAAGGTATTGGAAAAAAAACAACAGGCAGTACTGAAGTTAATGAACAAATCAAAAGGAAAATATTGTATAATCAATATGAGGCACATTAGGAGACAAAAAGATACGAGGGGGAAAAAAAGAACAAAAAAGTACCACCCACACAAATGCCTTTGATCAAACAAAAGCAGAACTCAAAAAATTACTTTATACTATCATACTATTTAGGTAAAAGATAAGTATTATAACAGAAATGGAAACTTTGAATTTTGCAAAAGAAACTTTTGCTTTTTATAAGCCAAAAGGATGTAATTCAGCAACCCTTATGCTTCCATTATCATACTTCACTACACTTCCTTTCACATTAAAAGAAATAATATCCCCACCGCGGTGTCTCAGTGGTCGAGCGCCAACCTATGAACCAGGAGGTCACAATTTAGTTCGATTTCATTCAGGGCACAAGCCTGGGTGTGGGCTCGATCCCTGTAAGGGGCACGCAGGAGGCAGTTGATCAGTGATTCTCTCTAACCACTGATGTTTCTATCTCTCCCTCTTCCTTCCTCTCAGAAATGAATAATAAAGTGTATTTAAAAAAAATTTAAAAACCTGAAGTAGTGGTTCAAAAAACTTCTAAGACTCTCCATGCATCGGCATCAAACATAAGGCCATCTAAAGGGCTTACATACTTGAACAATCCAAATTAAAACCCTGAAGAAAAGAAAATACTGCCGTTACAGAACTTAGCATATTAAACAGTAAAGGAAATATAATGACGAGATTGAGAAAAGAATTGGCATTTTTATTTTTATAATTCCTTAAAGGAGAATGCAGACATTAGTTTTTCATCTCACTTTCCAAAACAGAAATATCTGTTACTCACTATACTGTCCACTGCTAGTTTGGTAGATCGGCGTTGGCACCGTTACGGTGGTGATGGCGGGAGCTGAAGTCTCCTCTTCAGACTTCTCTTCCTCAATTCTTGGCACTCCTGGTGCATCAGAAGATAAGTCATTCAAAATTTTCCTAGAAAAACAGAATTCTATTAATTAAAATAAAAGTGACACTTAGTAGTATTAGCTAAATACATTAACAGGAAAAGGTCAGAAAACTGGGAAGAAGCAACTAGTGCAGTGGTTCTCAACCATTCTAATGCTGCGACCCTTTAATACAGTTCCTCATATTGTGGGACCCCCAACCATATGTGGGGTTGTGGCATTAGAATGGTTGAGAACCATTTTTTAAAATAAAAATATAAAAATTTATAAGAATAAACTAAAGCCCCGGTTTGTCCCAGTGGATAGAGTGTCGGCCTGTGGACTGAAGAATCCCAGGTTCGATTCCAGTCGGGGGGCACATGCTTGGATTACAGGCTCGATCCCCAATGGGGGACATACAAGAGGCAGCTGATCGATGATTCTCATCATTGATGTTTCTGTCCCTCTCTCTCTCTCCCTCCCTCTGTATAAATAAAAAAAAATTATTCTTTTTAAAAATATATTTAAAAATGTATTTAAAAAAAGAATAAACTAAAAAAGGATCAGGGATCTATATGTCAAAATGAAACCATATAAGGACCAGATAAACACAGATGAATTTTTCTTTTTTCCCCCCTCAATATATTTTTATTTATTTCAGAGAGGAAGGGAAAGAGAGATAGAAACATCAACGATGAGAGAGAATCATGATGAACAAGAATCATGGATTGGCTGCCTCCTGCATGCCCCCCACTGGGGATGGAGCCTGCAACTTGGGCATGTGCCCTTAACTGGAATTTAACCTTTAGTCCACAGGCAGATGCTCTATCCACTGAGAAAAACCAGCTAGGGCCAGATTAATTTTTCTTAAACCTGAATGTAAACATTGTGATTCAAAAATCTGGGTATAAAAAGAGATTAATAAAAATAATTAATGAAATTAAAAATCATTTTGTGTGACAAAGAATATAAAAAATTAAGTCAAGAGATATCATCAATACTAGTAGAAAATGTTTACATATATCACATACAAAAGGGCCAATTAAACATTGATGGGGGTGAAATATCAAAGCCATGAGAAAACAGACACTCATACACTAATGCTGGGAGTATAAAATCAGATTAACCATTATGGAAGGAATTTGGTAACATCTAACAAAACTGCATGTTTACATAGCAGTCTCCAAGGGATTTACCCTTAAGATATACTTCCAACAGCATGAAAATCTGTATGCATAGGGTATTCATGGTAGTACTGTTTGTAGCAGCATAAACTAGAAACAATCTGTATGTCCACACATAGGAGAATAGTTGAATAATTATGGTTCATCCCAATAATGGATACACATGGTATTTTAGTATATGAAAGTGAAATATGAAAATATACATGTTATCTCCCTGTCTGTTCGAGAAAGAGAGAAAAGGGGGGGGGGCAGAGTTTGATGAAATTAGCATCAACTGGAGATGGTTGAGGAAAAAAGTGTAGAAGAAATGAGTGAGCAGGGACACTTCTGAGTATATGTATATATTTTTTGGTACAATTCTAACTTTCAGAATCATGCTAATGTTTCACATATTCAAAACAAATGAAAATAATATCAACAAGGATGGCGAAAGTCTAAAAATGGAATATAAACAAAAACAAATGAATTTTACCATGTTTCAAATTAATGACATAATGACAAAAGAGAGGAAAAAACCTAACCCAAGTAATTTTTGCCATCTTAAATTTCCAATAAATCAGTCTGCATTAATCCCAGTTTGGAGAGGGTGCAGGCTGGCCTGTGGGACACCCGCCCTCCCGGGCACGAATTCCGTGCACCGGGCCTCTAGTCCGGTTTGGTCCATTGTGGAGGCAAGGCATGGCCCAGGTACCTTCTCTAACTGATTATTAAAACTACTATAAGGTGCCCCTAAAATTAGGGGTTATCAGCAAAGCATCACCTTGAAACAACTATTAACAGTTATCTGCCAAGTACCATCGCACATGCATTGCTAAGTACAATAGATGAATAGTACAGTGTCAGAAGTGATATGTAACTAAAAAATACTATAACCTTATTAAGTATATTTCCAACTTTTAAACAGAAAAGCAGTAGCCAACATAATCTACAAAAACAGAAGCAGAAAAAAAAATCAGTGTTTATCCGGGGCTGTTCAGAGTAAGAAGTGCACTTATTCTGTACGATAAACTTCCAATTTCTTTTACTCAAGATGAAGGAAAGTAAGCTCCTGGGTCCTGAGTGAGCAGCTAATTGTTTTCCTGATATCTGATTTTAAGTTCTTTTGACTATTAAATCCCATACCTGTAGGAAGGCCTCCTTGAAAGAATCTCTCTTCGTTTTTGGGAATCAGTTACACTATCCACTGACTCCTGTGAATCTTCACTTTCTGCAATAGTTGAAATCTGAAAATAAAGAACTTTATCTTGATAATCAAATTTCATTCCCATAAAATATTTATGAATTTCAAGAAAAAGTCAAATAAAAAAGGATATACATAAGCCTATACATGCTTCAGTAGATTAATAAAATCCCTTTTTATGAGAGACCTACACCGATCACTTTCCCCTCCCATTTACTTATTCTATAGAAGTCGGAGGACCTAAAAAAATCGTCAAAACCACACTTTTGTGATATCCAAATTCAGTTTAATCTCTTCCAGGACTTCATGTAATCAATCCTGAATGCATCGATAGTACCTGTCAGTTTTTTTCTTACAGTCGTTAGAAACAGTTTACCGAGTAAAATAAAGTGTCTGACATGAAGGTAAGCAAAAGTGACTAAATATTTGGTCATATAAGTCTATATAGTGACTTTACCAATACTTTCCTTTAACTACTGTGTAAATACTTATAAATATATTTGTAAGTGTACAAATAAGATTGGTGATGCCCCAATAAATTCCAGATGGCTAAGTAGTAAATTAGGAAGAAGCTCTGTTACATATAGATATGGTTCAAAATTGGTAATCTACAATTTTTATTAAGCAAACTCAAAATTAAAGAACTGTGCATTTCTGGAAAGTATCCCTGAACTGAAAAGTAATGAAATTGAATAAAGATTTTACATGGGATTTAAAGTAGCAACTAGTATTTCTTACTATGTGCCAAGTGCTAAATACATATATTATTTAATACTCACTAAAACAGTAACATTGGGTACTGGATAAGGATGATTATTATATGTATTTTATAAACAGAAAAGCTAAGGCACAAAGAAGTAACTCACCCAGCCACAAAGCTAGGAAGGAGTGGAGTCACTGTCAGTACCTGTCCTCTCAGTTTTAGACATCCTTACTGGCACCCAAATCCTATTGGTTCCAATCTCAAACCAGTTTTTTTCAGAAGCAGTAACCCAGGGGTGTTTTGAGACCACTTTCAGACTAGAAGTTCATTCACCTCGGCAAGCTTTCTGTCAGATTTATGCTGCCAAGTTTCCCTGTCTGCTCCAACAGGAGCCTCCTGCTCTCTCCTGAACTAGGTGTGCATGATGCTGTCAGAGTGAGATTGAGATTTAAACAGGGCAAAAGGGTCCACGTGGGTTAGCTCTCGGTCAAAATTTATGGCAATAACAGTAAGAAAAAACATATTCAAAGGAACCAGAGAAATCCCTAAGGTACTATGTACATCAAGCATGTCAAACTCAAAGGCTAACACGGACCAAATAAACAAGGTTTAAGTTTATATGGGCCACAAAAAACAAAAGCTTCAATTTTCATAAAAATGAAGGTTTATTTTGATAGAGATATGCTCAATACAAAGGGCTGAAATGAGTTATCGTTGACATAAAATAGAACATTTAATAAAAGTTAATATTTTTTCTTGAACATTAATTTACCAGACACTGAATAACAGCACAAATCAATAAGTGTATCTCAAATAGGCCTATTTTTCTTGTTCTCCAAAAGCAAAATAGTTCCTGGTGTGCACTCCAAACTAGTCAGTCCAAGACTAATGATGTAACAATCGGCTGCTAAAATGTTCGCTGCTAGTATTAGTGGAGAGAAATGGTGCGCCTATGCGTAAAGCGTGTAAGGGAAATGAATGCAACACTACACAGCAATCAGTCATTAGCATACGTTGTACTTTATTACTAATAATTATGTATAACAGGATATTGTGAAAATTAAGTTACAAAATTTTTATTAAAATGTTTCTTACATACCGTTATATTGGCTAGGCTGCAAAAATATTCGTTGTGGGCTGCGAGTTTAACATGCTTTCTGTACAAGGTCTGAGCCTAAGAGTTAGAGTGCAGGCACTCATTTTGACAGGGCTTTGTGATATGCACTCACTTTAAAATGTCAGTATAGTCCTTAAGACTTAAAATATAACAGGAACATCTAAGGAATCCAGAAATGACAGACAAAAAGATGGGCAAGGCTGAATTTACTGTGATTCTCTGTGGAGTAATAACACTACAGTTACTGCCAAAGGAGCACACAGAACAATTTCTCACTAATCTGGACCTGCTGTAACTAGCCCACTCAGTGTAGTCTGCACAGACTTTCTCACAGAGGTAGAGCAGATGAGGAGCTGTGAAAAGCCTTAACAGATCAGAGTTTCAAGGAATTACCTTCATTAATATTTCTCAGAATCTTAGGTCCTCTATTATTCTTTCTGCCTTGTTTGACTCTCATCCTTACAACCTTTTCTTAAGGATATACAGTGACTTAGGCACACTCTCCCAGGTTGAATGTCATGAAAACAACTTCAAAACATGTTATGTAAGCCACCCACATGACAAGTTTCAAAATGAAATAAATTAATGTTATTTTTTTATGTAGCCTTTAATTTTTCAAACTCAGGGGATCTACTGCTCTTAGTAGGAGGAAAAAACAACTCCTCCTCTGATCTAAAACATTTTGTAAATTCAGACAAAAGGAATTAACTTACCATATTGTAATTATTTGGAACTATGAGGCCAATTTCTATGAATTATCTACCCAAAAATAAACAAACAAACAAAAACAAAAACATCCAGTGGACCCACTTTCTGAGACTAATAAAAATCATGTCAAAAAGTCCTTTTTAACCCTGGCTGGCTTGGCTCAGTGGATAGAGCATCAGCCTGCTGATTCAAGGGTCCTAGGTTCGATTCCAGCCAAGGGCACATGCCTGGGTTGTGGGCTCAGTCCCCAGTGGGGGTCATGCAGGAGGCAGCTGATCAATGATTCTCTCTCATCATTGATGTTTCTCTCTCTCTCCTCCCTTCCTCTCTGAAATCAATAAATATTTTTTTTAAAAAGTCCTTTTTATGTGCCCTGGCTGGTGTAGTCAGTTGTTTGGCACTGTCCCATGTCCCTTAAGGTTCATTTCCCAGTCAGAACACATGCCCAGGTTGTGGGCTCAATCCCTGGTGGGGGGACATGCAGGAGGGAGCCGATTGATGTTCTGCATTCACATTGATGTTTCTTTCTCTCTCCCTTCCTATCTCCCTAGAAATAAATAAAAATAGTTTTAAAAATCCTTTTTATAAATAAAAACTTGAGGCTGAGTGCACGAAATTCAGGCAGGGGGTGGTGATGGTGGTGTATGTGTCCCTCACCCATCCTGTACCCTCTCCAATCTGGGACATCCCTCTTACAATCCAGGATTGCTGGCTCCCAACCGCTTGCTTGCCTGCTTCTTGATTGCCCTTAACTATCCTCCCCTGCAGGCCATCTTGTGGTGGCTATCTTGTGTCCACATGGGGGCAGCCATCTTGTGTGTTGGAGTGATGGTCAATTTGCATATTACCCTTTTATTAGATAGTATTAGTAATTATAGTTTTAATATACTTAATAGGCTATTAAAAATAACCATGAAAAATTACATCCCAATTTTAAATACAAACTACTTCATTCCAATGATAGACCACCTCCTTTGAGCCTCACCCTCTGTCATCCCACTTGTAAACCCCTTCTGGAGCTCCTTAAATAAATTTTTAACCTTTGCCACTTAAAAGTCCTAATATGTTATTCTCACACCTGAGAAATGTGCCTTGTATATTTTGGAAATGCTGTTCTAGAATAATACTATTCTCCCATTAGAAGTTTGAGAAACCATTTCTCTACTGTTGGATCACCTCTTTTGATGTAAACTACTTCCTAGTTATTAATACTACTTACTGTTAACCAGCTGAAGTGACCATTAAAATGTAATAGATTCTCCATGGTTTAGGCCCTTTTTAAAAAAACTATATTTATGTCCCTGTTCCTAGAATTCAGGCTTTCAATTATAGGCATAACTCACCTTATGGAAAAAAAAAACGTGTTCTCGGAAAGATGAATCCATTTCCACAGTTAATGGCCTATGACTCCCAGGCCTAAACTATTGTTATTGTTGTTGTCACAAAGTAAAGATTAAAAATAAGAATAAACAAATATCGCATATTATTACCAAAACTGTAATTTTAACAATTTTGTGGGTATAAATTTGGTAATTTTTTGATGTTCTTTATAGAAAGATCTCCTACTATTAAGTGAAAAAGAAAAGTATTAATGTGAGCCTTGGAATCTTTCTACTATTATCAAGAAGATATGAGCAGGGAATTGGTAATGGCATAGTATGGAGAATGTAAGATAATATTAATGAAATAAAAACAGAGGCAAAGTATAAGAGACTGTAATCAGTCTTCTGTGATTCCATAGAAATATCAAATTCTTCCATTTTTAACTGGGCAATACTGAGTCCTACTTGGTAAAAAATTCCCTTCCAGGTACCTTTCAGGATGGAAATTCCCAGAATTTAATGATTTCACAGGAAAACATCCTTTTTCCCCACTAAGTGTTCCAGCAAGCCAAAAACACAAGGATATAATGAAGCGGGGTTGGGGACTGGGAGGTGGGGGGATTAATAGCAGCTCAATACACAAAAGTATAATAAGGCAGACAAGATCTAACAAGTCCTTTCAGCATTAACAGAATGCCATCAGTCTGGCTACCATGCCCAAGGAAAACCCAGAGCTCACCCACAAGAAGACAACCAGGATAGTAATGAGGAATCAAAGCTACACCATATAATAATGACTGAAGAAAAATAGGCAATTGGTCTGATTTTTTTTTTTTTTTTTAATGGGAAGGGGGTAGGAGATGAGGAATAGGAAGCAGTCTAACAGAAAGGAGTTAAAACTTGCTTAAAAGGCCTTAACCGGTTTGGCTCAGTGGATAGAGCATCAGCCTGTGGACTTAAGGGTCCCAGGTTCAATTCCAGTCAAGGGCATGTACCTCGGTTGTGGCACAACCAGTATGGAGTGTGTAGGAGGCAGCTGATTGATGTTTCTCTCTCACCGCTGTTTCTAGCTCTCTATCCCTCTCCCTTCCTCTCTGTAAAAAAATCAATAAAATATATATTTTTAAAAAAAACACCAAAAACTTGCTTAACTGGCTGGGATCACCTGATAAAAGGCATACCTAGTCTCTGTCTGAAAATCAATGGAAAAAATATCCTCAGTGAGGATTAAAAGAAGAAAAAAAGAGAAAAAAAGTAAGGCATACCTAGTTCATCACATGGAACAATATTTTAGCAATTATCCCTAATTATAAATTGGTTACTTCAGGAGATAATAAGACCTTCCTTCCTTTGAAAACAATGCTGGGTTACAATTTGGAGGAAGGCAGAAAAGACATAGAGGGAAATTAAGCTACAGACTAAGAGTTGGATAGGTAACAAGTTTGGCCTAGACTTAGAAGATCTCTAAGATTTTTATTCCAAGCTGAACCCCATGTTTACAGAGAAGGACAAAGACAAAGAAAAATTTCTCACCTTCCTTTCTAAAAATAGTTCTCTCCAAATCTAGGACCTAGGACTCACCTGAGTTCCGGAGAAAAGTCTTTTTAAGTCCTTACAGGAAGACTGTGAAGCAAAAAATATGAAATGGGAGGCTGGGGTTATGGCCTACTTGAATGAACAAGTTTTTTTTTTTGTTTTTTTCCTTCAATAACTCACCGCAAAGATTGTATACTGCTCTAAGTTTTCCCTACAATTGAGTAGTCACCTTCAGAGGTCTACATGCCTCTATTTCCTTTGGATCCAACTCAAAGGAACAATCTCTCTAAAGAAGGAGATAATGTGTAGTATAATCCCTGATTCTTAAGGTGCACTTTCTGAAATATCATTATTTCAAAGTTATATTCTGTAACTTAGAACCCTAAACATAGCTGGTATTACAAATGCTTTATGTAATCTCTAAATTAAAATAATATCTTAGGTAAGGTTAGTAGTTAATTTTAGGTGAGGGTTTATTTTTTTAGTTGCATGTTTAGAAAATACAGTCTCTCCAAAACATTTTCATTTTATCCCACGTACTTATTAAAGGTTTCCCCCAATCAATTCTCTTTCTTCTATAGCTTAAGAAAGTCTTTTTCTTCTATGTCTATTCTTGGGTATATGCAGCATATTCCTTTCTTGTGAAGTGAAATAAATTCTGAACTACATAATGCCCCTATTTTCATAACTAAAAGAAGAGAGATATGACTATAAATCACAGTTATAAAAATAGATGCAGAACTTTTTATACACATACCTGAACTGTCTGGACTTGTGGAGACTGAATAACTGATGGCTGGGCCGCCTGAATAACGCCATGGACTTGAACTGTCTGCCCATTGGGCAGCTGTACTAACGTTACGGTGGGAGCAGATGATGTCGCGTGAGCTGCTGGCATAGATACCTATTGTGTTGAACATGGAAAAAAATTACCATCACAGATACCTTCTTGGGAGTACTCATGTTCAATATAAAGCAAAATTTAGCAGCAAAATGATGACCTTTTTGCAAGGTATTTCACTGGTATGAAAGAAACTAATGATTAAATTTAATATTATTAAAAAATAAAGACTTCAAATACCACCCCCAGCCCCACTTTTTAACTCCTCCCAAATGACAAAAACCAAAATACTATTTTAATGTAATATCAAAATATATAATAGACTTCCTTTAAAAACTAAATACGGTACTACTTTATTTGTATGGGGCTTTACATTTTCCCACTTGCTTTCATACCCAATTTCTCATTTTACTCTTGAAAAATATCAAGCCTGGGTGATCAGGATTATATCTATTTTAGAAACAGATCAAGCGCTCAAAGATTAAGTAATTTACCGAAAGTCAAGCAATATGTTAGACTTAAACATAAAAGTCTTCTTAATATCACGTATTAAATAAACCACATTCTCAAGTATAATTGCTTTCAAGCTTGGGTAAAACTTAGCTACTAGTCTATAATAAATACACATTTTATAATACACAGCATAGTTTTACCTTAAACTAATTACAAGTATGCCTTTCATTAATGAGAAAGTAGTAATAGTAATAATAATCTAAAAATTTCTACTACCCTCCCAAATAAATCACTAAACTGGTAATAGATATTTTAAGGATTTATTTTCTTCTTGTAGGAATTAATGAGCAGAGTTTAGAAAATATAAGAGAAACCATTTCCCCCCTTGAGGCACAAAAGAAGGCACTATTAATCAGTCAATATGTAGGAACAAAGGGCTCTTATGCGATGTCTATCAGATGGTACTTAAGTATTCATATGCTAGCTCAAATTTGGGGGTAGGAATTTTACTTGCTCATTTGGTAAACAGTTACTGGGGGTCTGTCTATATGCCAAGAACAATGTTAGAACTGAAAGTACAAAAATGAGAAAGATATAGATTGGGGCATGTGTGTGAAGAAATGGGGAAAAGGACACAAATAAATATAATTCAGTGAAATAATGAGGTTTGCAAAGATAAAAATCAACACATCGAGAGCTACCCTATCCCACCTGAGAGGAGGCTGCCAGGGAAGAATATAAATTTGAAACAAAGAAAACAAGTTAGGCATGTTGCTATAAGCACAGAATTCCAGGCAGAGAGACTAGCCTTGGCGAAAGCAGAGAAACGGCACGATCTATAGATAGCAGAGAGGGATGACAAGCAGTCAGTACCATTGGAGACGTGTTTTACTCTAAAATGTAGGAAGTAAGGAGATTAAATAACAGAGGCAGGCAGGAGTGAATATGCTAGTCATGAACTCTTATATATGTCATATTAAAGAACTTGCACTTAATCTTGAGGAGATTGGGAAAGATAATTGAAGGGTTTTGAACTCCTGAACATATGGTGAGGTTTGCTAAATTTTAGATAGATCTCTCTTGTGTGGTGTGAAAAATATTTACGTCACAGGAAGAAAAAGTGGAGGCTAGGAGACCAATTGAGAAAGCCTAAGTAGTTTCAGTGAGATGATGAAGGCAGAAATAAGGAACTAGATGTGGTAGGGATGGGAATGAGAAAAGCAATTTAATAAAAATTCAGGAGGCAGACCAGTAAGGGCTTTATGAATGAGGTTGATCCATATGAAATGAATGAAAGATAATCCATATATTTCATGTTTGGGTAAGAAATGATAGACTCTGCTATCAACTGAACCAGAGAACACAAAAAGTAAGGAGAAACTTTTGGGTGGTTGGGGTGGTGGTGGAAGATGGAAGAATTGATCTGATATTTGACTGTGACACTTGTGGAGATCTCTATTGAAGGTAGACATTAAACCCATATTTGGACAGTTAGAAGTCCTTGCTAATTAGTCATTTTTCTCTCTTTTTCAGTTTTATCTGGTTCTCAAAATGTGGTCCATGGACTACCCCTCCATTAGCTACATAGGGACGTGTTTATAAACACTCGTGGACCCAAAGATACTTTTCCCTATACTGAACCACAGTCTTGTTATTCGTAATAATTCAATTCCATATGAAAGCTCTTCTAATATTTGAATTATGTTTTCTTCTGACTATTCTCTAGGGCGAATATAACATGCTAAGTAACTCAGTGAATAATTTCTTTTCTACCTTGACCATTCTACATAATGGCTCCTCTCATTTTAAGTTTATAAAATACAGACACACAAAAATTTAAGGCACTTATATTCCTACCACTCAGAGCTAACCACTTTTTATAATTTTGCTGTAGATCTAGGTGATTTTAAGGAACATATACACTCAATTTTTATAATACATTATCATGGAATCTACTTTATCATATGAATCCACTATAAATATTTTTCCATTCCATTAACAGTCTCCTTTGTTTTAATCGCTGCATAATAGTTAAAGCATATAATTTATTCAATAAATTACTTATTATTACATATTTAGGTTATATATATTATTGATTTCAGAGAGGAAGGGAGAGGGAAAAATAGAAACATCAATTCTGAGAGAAAAATCTCTGATTGGCTATTGGCTGCCTCCTGCACATCCCCTAATGGAGATCAAGCCCACAACCCCAGTCACGTGCCCTTGACCAGAATCAAAACCAGGATCCTTAAGTCCGCAGGCTGATGCTCTATCCACTGAGCAAAACCAGCTAGGGACATATTTAGGTTTTCAAATTTGTTTATTTCAAAAAGCTACAACAATTACCCTTTTATCCAACTCTTAAGTTCATAAAAATTTACATTCTCATAATAAAAACCAACGATATATCCCTTTTCAAATTCTAAAAATAAAATAAGACATCTTATTATTGTTTTAGATCTTCTCCCTTCATTAGTTAGGCTGAAATGTTTTTTCCTGTTCACTGATCTTGGATTTCACTATTTTATTATATTTTTCTAGTATTAAAGACTGACAATAAGTACTGACTCAGTTGGTTTGGAGTCGTCCCGTGCACAGAAAGGTTGCTGGTTCCATTCAGGGCACACACCTAGGTTGTGGCTCAGTCCTCAGCAGGGAATGTGCAGAAGGCAGCAGATCAATGTTTTGTTCTCACATCAGTGTTTCTCTCTCTCCCTCTCTCTTCCGCTCTCTCTCAAACTCAATTTAAAAATCTTAAAAAAAAATAAAATAAAGCACCTAACAATGGAAACAAAAGCAGATATTAGAATGACAAGAGGAAATTATATTGACAATGTATGATGCATGTACAGACTTGGATGAGCAAGTGAAAACAACTGTAATTAGGGATAAAAAGAACAAAAATATATATAAATGGGAATTAGCTTTTCTAAAACTCAAATATCATGCCACTCTGTTTTCAAAAGTCTTAAGTGCTAGAGGACTGTTTGGTAAGAATGACATATTGAACAGGTGTGTAATAATTTTGCTCCTTCCTGAATCTCCAATTAAATCTCGTTAAACTGATTTTGTTTTTACAGGCATAATCATGCAAGCATGACAATGGAAAAGAATAAGAAATCTGGAGACTGGCCCTAGCTGGTTTGGCTCAGCGGTTGGAGCATCGGTCTGCGGACTGAAGGGTGGCAGGTACATACATCATTTGCAAGCTGGATCTCCAGCCCAGTCGGGTGGGGTGGGGATGGGCAACCAATCAATGTGTCTCTCACACATCAATGTTTCTCTCTCTCTGTCTCTCCTCTCCCTTCCACTCTCTCTAAAAATCAATGGAAAAAAATACCCTCAGATGAGGATTTAAAAAAAAAGAAATTTTAAGGCTGGAAAGCAGATGGATGAATGGTATTACACTTAGAAGGCCTCAGAAAGCCAACTCATAGGGTGGAGATAGGGAAAGCATAGTCTGCTCCATAAAATCCTTAAGGACTCGGGATCTAAGACACCCTGGAAGGTGGAGTGAAAGGAGAGGCTGAGGATAAAGAAGGCTGTTTCAGAAGCAACTGAATCCCCTCCTCCCCCTGTGGAGAGAACTAAGGTACCCCATGCTGCCAGCGAAGCGGAGATTTCCTGGATAGAGTGTCTCTAGACTTGACTGCCTAACACCAGGCACTGCTGAAGGTGGAGGACTAAACCTCAGTCTTCTCTCACTGGGCTCCTAGACCTTCAGCATACAAGCAAAGTATTAGTGAAGCTTTCTCTGGGGAATCTGACCAATGTCAGGGGCAGAAAAAAGACCTAAAGTATACTGCCCGTCACCCTACGGGAAGCTCACAACTTACCATGATAAGCCCCAAACATACCCCAGAGCTTCCGATGGAGCTTTTTGGTTCCTGCTTTTAAATCTGAACAGAAAACCACCAAACACATCCTAACATAAAAGACGAAGAGCAGAACAAATGGAAGGGAGAAAAAGCTATAAAGGAAAATCTAAGTGCAGAGATGAAAACTTAAAATAAAATTAATTAATATTCTGATATAAGAAAAAATATTGCCTCTGTGAAACATAAACAGAATGCTATTAAAACACAAAAGGACTATTCAGAGAACAAAAGGAACTCTTAGAAACATGACAGAAGAAATTAAAAAATTCAACAGATGGGTTAAGAATGTGTGTTTGAGGAAATCTCTCAGAAAACAGAACAAAGCGATATAAAACAGGAAAGAGATGAGAAAATTAGAAAAACAGTTCTATAGGTATAACATCTGTAATACAAGGATCCTAGAGAGAAAAAGCCATCAACCAAATAATTTAAAAAATTGAAAGCACGAATTCCCACTACAAAAGGGCCCACTGAATACATAGGACAATGGATGAAAAATTGTCCAAGTCAAGGTCCTAATAACCAATTAATGAAATAATGAAGCACTAGGAACAGAGATGAGATTTTTTAAGATACCAGAGTTATAAAATAAGAAATGCATTTAGTCTTTCAAACAGCAACACTAGAAGTTGACTTGTTTTCAAAATTTGAAAGAAAAATGATTTCTTTACCAAAAATTCTTTACCCAAACTTGCTTAAGAAACCACTGGAAATCATGTTTTACTATCTTATTAGTAAGAACATGAACTTCTCAAGAAAGTCAGTAGGGAAAAGGAATTTCCAGAATGACATCAGGCCAGAAAGAATAGTGTGATGTGAGAGAGAGACATGTTAAGCGCTGTCACCATCAAGATCCCCAGTGGCATTGTATCTTCTTACTAGAGAGCCAAATGCTTGGATGAGCCCAGATTGTTGTGTGTGCATGTTTTCCAACCATGTACTGATAAAGCCCTGGTACTCCTGGTTTGTACCTGCACCTGCCTCAGATGAGTACATTTACTTCATCCTCAAGTGTCTTCTATTCCTAAAGGCTGGAAGTGGGCCTGGGTGCTTTCAGGAGAAGACAGATCAACCCAATTATATTCCTGCTGGAAGTCCAATTTTTGGCCCACATTTTAACTCAGTGTGGTAACCATCTATGGTTAGCCCTCTATCTCCCAAGACACTATTCCTGCTCAGTGAGTCCTCTGGGAAAGCGTGAGGATTCTTTGGGAAGCTGAGGTAGGATATCCCGGAGCCTCTGCCAGGATTGTTTTCTTCCGGAGACTTCACATATCATCCTCTTACCTAGCATATTTATTTTCGCTATTTAGTGTTTATATTAGCAACCTTTCTCATATATGTTCAAACAGTTAATAAAATAAACTATTTAAGAAAAAACATCTAAGAACAAAAAATAAGAATGAGAGAATACAACCTGAGACAGACTTTCAGACAAAGATAAAATGAAAGAATCATGGCCCTGACTGGTTTGGCTCAGTAGATAGAGAGTCAGTCTGCGGACTGAAGGGTTCCAGGTTTGAATTAGGTCAAGGGGTCAAGGGCATGTACCTTGGTTGCAGGCACATGGAGGGGGCGGGGGGGTTTTGCAGGAAGCAGCTGATTGATGTTTCTCTCTCATCAATGTTTCTAACTTTCTATCCCTCTCCCTTCAACTTTCTATCCTTCTCCCTTTCTCTGTAAAAAATCAATAATATATATATATATTTTTAAGAAGAATCATGAATTATATTTAAAATATACAAGAAACAGCCGAAACCGGTTTGGCTCAGTGGATAGAGCGTTGGCCTGCGGACTGAAAGGTCCCAGGTTCAATTCCAGTCAGGGGCATGTACCTTGGTTGCGGTCACATTCCCGGTGGGGGGTGTGCAGGAGGCAGCTGATTGATGATTCTCTCTCATCGATGTTTCTGACTCTCTATCCCTCTCTCTTCCTCTCTGTAAAAAATCAATAAAATATATATTTAAAAAAAATAAAAATATACAGCAAAAAACTATCATCCTTGAAATTTACTTGTGTGTCAATTTATTTACTTATCCTATATTTTTAGTTTAAGCACATATAAACTTAGCCTTTCAGATTATCTGTGTACCTATGTCCCAAAATAAATTTGCGTGATATGAAAAAAAAAAGTTATGTTTTCTTCCCTTGTTTAAGAGAGACAATCTGCCCACTAGTTAAAATGTGATTTTCTGAATCATGTTGTTACAAACAAAGAATCAGTGTTTAACAAATCACTTTTTTTTCCTGATACGGAACTGAATTAATACTATCATTTCTAAAATTAGTCTAATACTAAAATGGGAATTGTGATATTCTAAGAATACCTGTGCTCATTCTATGCATATCTCTAATAAAAACGAAATTCTCTTGTCTGAAACATATTCCTCTCAGACGAGAAGCAACTTGGAATCTCTCCATCTATTTAATACCTGGGCTAATGTGGCAATCTGTGGCTGGGCTTGAACGGTCATTTGCTGGTTTTCAGCTTCTGTTACGGCGGCATCTCCACTCTGCTGGTTCTCTGCTCCAGATTCCATGGTCATTTAGCCACCTACAATAACATGGAGGAGTGTTACAAGCACTACAGCGCTTTGTGCTTCTGTGACTTCAAAGGCAAATTTCAAGATAATCGGTATTATGTGGTGGTTAGGTTAGCACATACACTCACAAATCCAGTTAAAATATAATGTAGCTTAGTTATTATAAAACTTGTCCACATTTGCTGAGCTGTAAATGTTTCAGTACCTTCAAAAAAGAAAAACACTTTTTCCTTGCCATTTCTTCCCGATGAGATTACTGTAACTAGATTATTCCTTCTTCCATGAATCTCCCCTACTGAGAAGGGGAGGGAAGGAGCAAAGCTGTAACTTTTCAAACTGTACCAATCAGGTATGAAGAGAGAGCAGAGAAGTGAGCTGATGATAGGGTCTATGAGATACTGCCTTCATGATACCTCCTAGAAGAGTATTCCCTCCTATTATAGGCGGGGGGAGACAGAAAAATTATAAGCTACTTGGAGAGGGTCTTTTACTCATTACATAGCTCTCATTGTAACTGCTATTATAGTTGTTAAACAGTTTAATAGTCCCTTCTCTTAATTTTCAGGGAAGATAAAGCAGTTTTTCCTTTCCATCTTAGAAGCCTTCAAGAAATGTATGAATAGGGCTGTGTCACTTTACACGGTAACGATAGTAGATATTTAGAAGTTTAAAATGTAGTTTGGTAAACATCCCAATAAATGCCAAACAAGCACTTCCATGACATTTAAAATAAGAGAATGTGCTCTGCAATATAGTTCTGATAACTGTTGGGGGAAAGGATAACTTTTCTAATAAGAAAACTGGTAGGAGCAAAGTTTTATTTTTGAAATACCTTTGATTGTTGATAGTATTACAGATATCTCCCATTTCCCCCCCTTTTACCCTCCTCTCCCCACTCCTCCCCCAGGTCTTCACTTCCCTATTGCCCGTGTCCATGGGCTATGCATATAAGTATACGTTCTTTGATGATCTCTTCCCCCACTACCACATCAAGGTGTGTCAGTCTGTTCCATGCCTCCATGCTTCGGGTCCTATTTTGTTGGTCAATTCATTCTGTTCGTTAGATTCCATAAAAAAGTGAAATCATGTGATATTTGTCTTTCTCTGATTGGCTCGTTTCACTTAGCGTAATACATTCCAGATCCATCCATGCTGTCCCAAAGGGTGGGTGAGATCCCTCTTTTTTACAGCTGCATAATATTCCACAGTGTACTAGTGCGTTCCTCCTGAACTCTTACCAATCCAAAAGTCCAGGATTTAAGGAAGTCATATAAGCATTAGTTTAGAGTCTCCAGAGGAACCATAGCAAAAGGCACATTTGGGCATATAACTTTAAAACTTAAACAACTATTTTGTCATTTTCAAATGTAGTACTAAAAATATTTTGCAGAAGTACACGTAGAAACATCTATGAGCAACACATAATACTCTCTACAGTTATTTGGTACTTATTAGTTTTTAGGATATCAAAACTGTTTGAAAGCTTTGCTAACACATTTTTAACACCTTCAACATGTCCTTATTAATTTTCTAAAGTGTTAAGATTAACTTACTAAAGAAAGCGGTAAAACATTGAGGTGCTAAACAACAGACTTCAGCTTTCCACTAATCAATAACTATTATATGTTGCACTGCCTTTGCCTTTACTTTTTTCCTTGTACAATTTTTCTTTTGGTTGTTAACCTTAAATACTTGTCATTTACCTTCATCACTAGAGGCCTGGTGCATGGATTCATGCACTGGGGGAAGAGGACCCCCTCAGCCTCGCCTGCACGCTCTCATAGTCCAGGATCCCTCAGGGGCTGTCCACCTGCCTGCAGCAGAGGCAGGAGAGGCTCCTGCCACAGCTCGCAGCTGTGCTTGCCAGCCATGATCCCAGCTTCTGGCTGAGCGGCACTCCCATGGGAGTGCACTGACCACCAGGGGCAGCTCCTGCATTAAGCATATGCCCCTTGGTGGTCAGTGCATGTCATAGTGACCAGTCATTCCTCAATTCTGGTGAAGTACATATTAGGATTTTATTATATATAAAATAGTATACTAGAGGCCAGTGCACAAAATTCCTTCTGGGGGCGGATAGGGGAGGAGTCCCTCAGCCCAGCCTGCACCCTCTTGAACCTGAACCCTTGGGGGATGTCCAACTGCCTCTCACAATCTGGGACCACTGGTTCCTAACCACTCGCCTGCCTGATTACCCCAATTCCACTGCCTGCCTGCCTGATGGCCCCTAACTGCTCCCCTGCTGATCTGATTGTCCGTAACTGCCTCTGCCTAGCCCTGCATCAGGGACCCAGGATTTCCTCCTCTGGCTGGTCATAGGCACCTGGGACGCAGGTTGGCTACATTCGGGCTAGCCACAGCTGTAGGGGGCCATGGGCAGATGGCTTCACCCAGGCCACAGGCACTGGCGCCCAGGACTACAGGTCAGGTGGCTTGTGCCTCTCCTGGACCGCAGGTGCAGCCACTGGCACCTGGAATTTTGGGGTTGATGGCTTGTTCCTCTCCTGGGCTACAGCCTGGCTGGTCCCCATTCCTCTCTCCTCAGTGTTGAGTGTCTGAGCCATTATGGTGCGACAACCATTTGCAGATTAGCTCTTTATTATATAGGATGTCCAATCTAGCACAATGAGATTTATAAAATCAATACTGGAGATTTAATAATGCTCTAGGTTTGTGATGCTAATAGTCTTCTGGTATTAAATACAAGGTATCTTCACTGAAACCAGGTAGTTATACCACAAATTCAAATATATGTGTACACATAGATATCAGTATGCATATAATGTACACACACTCAATACACATATCAACTTCAACTATAAAAACTTTATTAGATTATACTGATCACACCTTAACAAAATGAGGTTATATACATTTTTAGGAAAACAGTAAAAGAACAGACAATGTAATAAATAAAATAAAATAAACTGGTGTCTTTATCAAGTTAAGTATTCTTACATAATTTTCAGAAATAATTTTCTGTCCTCTTACCAAGGTCTTTCTCCTTTAATTGAAGAACAAACCCATACCTCAGTCTCTAGTCTAGATATTAAAGCAAGCATGTCAAACTCAAAGGCTAACACGGGCCAAATAAACAAGATTTAAGTTTATATGGGCCACAAAAAACAAAAGCTTTAATGTTTATAGAAATGTAGGTTTATTTCAATAGAGACATGCTGAATACAAAGGGCTGAATGAGTAATCGTTAACATAAAATAGAATATTTTAATAAAAATACTTTTTCCTGGACATTAACTTACCAGACACTGAATAAATGCACAAATTAATAAGCGTAACACAAATAAACCTATTTTTCTTGATTTCCAGAAGCAAAATATTTCCTGTGGCACACACCTAACAAGTCAGTACAAGACTAATGACGTTGCAATTGCCTGTTGAAATATTCACTGCTAGTATTGGTGGAGAGAAATGGCTCGCCTGCACATAAGGCGAGAAAGGGAAATGAATTGCAACACGATTATAGTAATCAGTCATTAGTGAACACTGTAATTTGTTTGTTATTAATAATTATGTGTAACAGGATATTGTAAAAATTAAGTCACAAAATTTTAAAAAATATATATTTTATTGATTTTTTTTTACAGAGAGGAAAGGAGAGGGATAGAGAGCTAGAATCATCGATGTGAGAGAAACATCGACCAGCTACCTCCTGCACACCCTCCACCAGGGATGTGCCCGCAACCAATGTTCATGCCCTTGTCCGGAATCAAACCTGGGACTTCTCAGTCTGCAGTCCAATGCTCTGTCCACTGACTGAGCCAAACCGGTTTCGGAAAGTCACGAAATTTTTATTAAAACATTTCTTACATACCATTATATTGCCTGGGCAGCAAAAACATTCATTGTGGGCTGCAAGTTTGACATGCTTGTATTAAAGGAAGGCAAGAAAAGTTATATATGAAGTTAATTCTCTAGTTACTTGAATTGGTAAGATTTAATCATTTCGAAGACAAATAAAATCTGAAAATGTGTTTATATATTTTTATGAATTCTTAGTATTAATAGAAAATGCCGCCCTAACTGGTTTGGCTCAGTGGATAGAACGCTGGCCGGCAGACTCACGGGTCCCAGGATCAATTCCAGTCAAGGTCATGTACTTTGATCGCAGGAACATCCCCAGTAAGGGGTGTGTGGGAGGCAGCTGATTGATAGTTCTCTCTCATTGAGGTTTCTAGCTCTCTATTCCTCTCCCTTACTCTCTGTAAAAAAATCAATAATATATATATATATACATATACATACATACATATATATACATATATATATATATATATATATATATATATATATATATATATATATATATATTTAAAAATGCCTGTACCAATGCTATCAAAAAAGAAGGCAGCATACAGCAGGGGAATCTTTTCAGTGTTATTTAATAATATTAATTACCTCTGTACATTTACTGAATTGAACTCAGAGAAACTGCTTTAAGTTCATTGTTTATATTTTCTAATTTATTGCAATTTTGTGAATACCAAATTATTTGAACGTTATTTTTAATAAACCAAGTTATTTTTAAATATATAGCATGCACTATAGGAAAGATTCTGTCCCTTCAAAGAAAGTATTTAATATAAGTGAATTAGAAAAATGTTATTTGATTTATAGAAATGTTCTGCATGATTTATGACAACTATCCTTGAATATGTGGCTAATTAATTCATCTATAGTACCTTTCAATAAGAAAACTTTAGTACTTTCTTAAAACAAAGTTGTTATTTTTTAAGTATTGGCAAAATGTATATGCTTTGTTTTCCTGCAGGTAAGACTACTGCAACTATGACTATGCATTATTTCAGATAACCTTTTATCCCATTTCTTCCCATTCTCCTTTCTTTACAAAACACCCATCTGAAACTATGTTTCCAGATTTTTACACCATAAGCCTTTCAAAGAAGTGATCCTATATATACTTCTACATATAAAATTCTACTAAGTGGATTTTTGGAGCTGAACTGTTTTCCAAGGAAAGATACACCTCCTA